CTATAGTATATATCATCTTTGGTTGTACACGAGAAAAAAGGGAGAGTTTCATAAATTCTGACATTTTGAGATCCCCCCTTTTAAAAAACCTGATGGAAGAATTTGTGTTTTTTTTACATGTATAGCTTGTATAATAGTATTGAACCTTGAATGTATACTTTTAGGTTAGTGTAGGATACACGTGGTATAAAAATGTTTCAAAAGTTTTTCTTTCATATTTTTACACAATAAAACACCTGCCCCCTTTTAAGAGCAATTAATTAATTAACTACGGGTATTAGAATTACTAATAAAGTCTAAATTGCGTTGAAAAAAAAAACTTACAATAGCAAATTTACCAAACATGCCGAATTACACGTAAGTGAGGATAATAAAATATTGATAGTTACATACATTGATATAACGAGATTATCCTCACTATTACTATTACCAACTTTTTATTATGGTGCTTTTGTCTGCCTTATGGACTAATTTATATTATGGTGCTTTTGTCTGCTTTATGGACTAATTTATATTGTGGTGCTTTTGTCTGCTTTGTGAACTAAGAATGCATAGTATGTAAGATCCCTTACTATGATCCTGCTTTACTTAATGTACAAATGATAATGAAATGTTATATATATATAATGTACAAATTGATTTATGTATATACTTTAAACCTATGAACTGTATGGTTCTTGGTAATAAACAATACAATACTGCGCATAGTTCTTACTACCTAATGCATGTAAGTAAAGAATGCTCGCCCTCTTGTTTTCTTCATATATATATATATATATATATATATATATATATATATATATATATATATATATATATATATATATATATATATATATATATATTATGTATGTTTTATGTTAAATATTTAGGCCTTTTTCATTATTTCTTCCTCAAAATATCTTTTTATGCTAAAATAAATAATTTTCAAGTGTCTTTAATTAAACAATTAGTAATATTTATTTTCATTCATAAGTTATGTCGACTTGATACATTCCAGTGAACTCTAAAGATACCATAGAGTCTGCTTCGTATTTGGGTCTTTCTTCAATAAAGACGTAAATGGCAAACTAACAAAAATATATAGGCCTACTATTTGACATGTATCTTTTCTATCGCAAATTTCCCAGATGTTTGCCTAGTATGTCGCTCGAACTGATTTGGTACGCAGTTGCATGTTCTGTGTAGGGAGCTATAATTTTTAACCTGAGACAAGTTACTGGCAAGTAAGTTAATGGTACAGATGTTTAAACCGTTTCCTCCAAAATCGTCATTTCGCTATTCCTATGGTCGTTATTATGACATTGTTTTCAAACATAGCCTATCTCGTTGGTCAAAATACTTAAAAGCTTGATCCATAACAAGTGTTAAGCCATTGTTGTTTACAGATTACTGCATTATCCTGATCAATACAGAGGATTCACTACAAGTGTGACAAATCCATAGAGGATGTTTATTCCTCCTAGGTGTTTCCAAAAGGGTTCCGTGTGTCTGTCCTATTCATGATTTTGTATCGTTTATAAGATTTTTTTGATTGTTAACTGTTCAATATGTTACATTAAAAGTTTAAGTCTAAAGTTTAAACTTATCTATAATTACATCACATTCTGAATTCTTCTACCGGTACTGTGATCTCTCTATTTCGTGTTTTGTTTTTTTTTTTGTTGACATGTAAATTGGCGGACAACTGCTTCGTCTTACTCCAACATAAATAAAATAACTTGTACACGTACAAATACTTCGTTGAAGTGAAAAATTATATTTAAAAAATTATAACTTTCATCCTATAAATTCTGAAGAGGAATGTAAAAGCGTAATACACATAAATTAAAGATGTTGTATGTGACATATACACAAAGTTGAGTATACAGAAATATACAGATGGACACGCAATCCAACAAAGTTTGTTTGTATGTAAGCTCTGATATGAAAAACAAAGAAGACATATACATCTTTTTTTTCATATATTATCATTTCTTATCTATAATAATTTCCTATGACCCATGCAGTTTCATAACCCCGTTAATGAAACTCTGCATGGTGAAATAAAAGTAATCAACATTTCTTGCAGTAATTTAGTGATGCAGTTTGTATCCTGTATATTTCTAGCAGAATTATTAACTTAATTTCTTTCAAAGTGTGTTCAGGTTATATTTATGCTTTTGCTGAGAGAGAGCACATTTCAGAAACCTTTACCAATCTAGAACTGTGAAAAGGCTGTTCGTGGGACAAAGTGCTTATTAGAGTAAAAATGAAAATCGACAACATTAACACAACTGTCGACAATAAATAGTACTTCATTCTTCTCATGTACCATAAAACATATCGTATATCAATGATGCCCGCCATATTGTGTGTTATATCTGCATATCTCTTCATTTGATATCCTTATACTGTTAACAGTGTATAACTTGATCAATACTCATACGTCACGCGAGTTTCCCGGAAATGTGACGTGAACACTATGTTCTGGGGGATAGAATCCGGTTTCATCTCAGTTAAAACACAATGTCCAAGTCAAACCTCAAGGTATGTTTGGGGTCAAACTATCAATATAATCAATGTACTGCGTTAATTACAATATAGCTATATTTAAGATGTGCATGAAGTCTTTACAGTAAGATCCGGAGGAAAAAATTACATAATATAACTATTTCTTCGTAATTATTTTCTTAAACGTCATTTTTAATTGATTAAAAAAAATCAAAATAAAATAATCTTTTACTTTGACACTTCATGGCGGTAGGAAAACTTGGCATATATTTTTCTTTCTTTTTAGCCAAAATGGTATGAAAATTTGCAAATTTGAAAAAAAAAACTTCCACCTACATAAGAAAAATTAAACTTCAATTTAAAAAAATCAGTTTAGCAACATCAATATCTTCGAATCAAAACAAGGCAGAATGACTTAAAAAATAGATTTTAAAACATACAGGTTTGACCAACCACAGTTTAACATATTTATCTGAAAGGTGTCACGCGAAGTATTTCAATATCACAAATGTGTACAAATGTGATACCTATTCTTTAAACAAAACATGCATGCTTCACCATGTATGTATCTTACTTACTTTCATTTTCTAACTTGCATAAATCATTTAAACCAAAAAAAAAAAAAAAAAAAAAAAAAAAAAAAAAGAAGACCAATTTAAAAGTATGGCGAGATAGCAAATAGTGTTTACAATTAAATATTATCACTTCAATTGATGGCAAAATATTGTTTTCTTTGATTTAAAGTTAATTTTGTCTTCTTATTAAAATAAAGCCAAAAAATCTTGAAATTTTTATCTTTTGTTTAAAAAAAGTCTCTATTTGGAGCTTTGATATCGCTCATAGCTGTACTGCCGTATTTTCTACGCAAAACTCGACTCACTTCATTCTTTTTTCGCAGTTTTACATTCAGTTTACCTGTCATCTAATAATAAAATTATTTTCACTTATTGAAAAATTATACATACGTTAATTTTCAACCAAGTCCATTGCAAAACAGTATTGAATATTTAAGCAATGGAACTTATGAATATAAAATTAATATATATATATGTAATAGTCATGATTTTAAATTGATTTTAATTATAACAACAATTTTCTTTCAGATGCCATTGAAAGTTATGAAATAACTTTCAATAATAAACTTGATTTATTTAAATATTAAACAGTTAAAATAAATTTAAAATCATGACTATTACATATATATATCAATTTTATATTCATATATATTATATTTATATTATATTATATATATATATATTATATATATATATATATATATATATATATATATATATATATATATATATATATATATATATATATATATATATATATATATATATATATCGTATCATCAGCAGCGAATCATGAATCTTTGCTTTAATTGTAATTTATTTGCACCTATTTCTCTTGATACATGTACATGTATTATACACTGCCTATGGTCATTGTTTTCATCAAACTGAACATGTTTAAAGAGAACTGTTACATTCTCATTGGCTCATACAGTTACGAACGACAAATCTGCATATATGGGAGATTGCAAAGAGAAATCTGTACAGTGTATTTCATTTAACTTATTTACCGCTCTGCTCACGAAACATGAAATATAAAATACGGTATTTTTTCAGGATAACCAATTGAAAGTAAAAATATATCTAGCGTTGCAGGTCGACTTTTCCATCGGTAAAGCTATCGCATTTTTTCATATTCCCCGCGGTATATCTCACTAAAAATGTCCAGAGACACGAACAATAAAAATGTCTTTTTTATATCCAATTGAAAACTTGACCTCTCATATATTATTTTTCCTTTGGTCATTTTAAAATCATTGATTTTATTTTTCTCTTCTATATACATGTACTATACCGGTATATAATATATGCCGTTGCTCAGTGTTATAATTGATGCATGAACGAATGAATGTTTGCAAAATAAATTAAATTTTATTATGAAAATCAATTATTCGTCTTCAAGCATTAAGAAGTTTGAAAATTTGAGAGTCATCTTAAACAAATTATTTAATATCTTATTTGTATACATGTATACCTATGAAATATTTTCAAAAAATGTCATTAACTACTGTTATGATTAAAGATATTAGACCTCTTTGAATAAACAGTGTTGATCGACTTGCTTTCACGTGATCAGTTTTAAAAGTAGGAATATGAAACCAATCTTGTAGCTTTTAACGAATCTCATCTACCTGAATATTATGAATCATTTCAAATGAAATACCACATATCACGTGTTTAGCAAAACCGCGCTTAAATTCGGCAACTTTTCTTGTGTATTTAATAAACCAATTTTACCTATGCATCAAAAATCGCTATTCAGGCATCGTCTAGACGATTTTCTTCGTCATAGGCATTTGTTTATTTACATATAAATGCCTCGGTTTTTGCATATTTCGCTAATTTGTACATTTGGTTCAAGCTCTAAGTGTTTCATTTTGCTGGAATAGAGTCTCTCGCAATACTCATTGGCCAGCTTGAAGAGCCCGGATGTACGGTAACAGGCGCATTATGTTTAGACGCCATTTTGCCAGTATAAAAATAAAGATAGCAATGCCTGATTGATTATTCGACAAGTTGTCGGATCGGGATAAATATTACTGCGAGCTGAATGTTTATAGTACAAAGATGGTAAGTTGATGTAAACAAAGGCGAATAGACGATCGATACGACCTGGAAATTTAAAATATTCGAGATTGTTTAACTGGGTCGCCGTTGTATTGTGAGGTCAGCGACACCGCGCTGTACGATATCGCGTAAAATAAGTATTGGAAATTTTACGTTGCGTTTTGACGTTATCCTTTTCTCTATATATTGTCTTTTGTTTATTTTAGTCAATAAAAAGTTTAGAAAAAATACAAAAGTAATGTGAGGTGTAAAGTTGAAAAAATATTTAATTGACCAGTGTGCTTAATCACGGTAATTAACGATACAAAAATAGTTATAAACTTGAATATTTAATATGTGAAGGTATGTACATTGCAAAAAAGTCTTAAAGAGTTCATTTAAAAAAAAATGATTTGTGGGAAAATATTACTTAAAATTACTAGTGTTAGCATCTTGTAAAATAAAGGATTATTTTTAAGGCATATTTTAAAGCAATATTAGATCTAAGTGTAAGGTAAATAAAATTTTTGGATCTCTGAATTAAATATGCAAAGGTATATGTCATTGTGGCATTTAATATAAAATGTTTAATTTAGATACATGAGATATATAATTTTTTTTTTTCTAATAAAAAGTTATTCACAGTTCTGAATTTCAGGAAAGCTTTGTACTTATTTATTGTCATTTAAGTTAAATAATTTAAAGGGCAGGAATAGAAATGTGGATAGAGTTGTAACATTTTCTCAGAATAAAATTTAGGGTTTCATTAGGGTGCAGGGGTGTGCAATTAGCATCGCCTGACGCCCAGGGCTACCATTTTTTTGGGTCACGCTAGTGGTTTTCTGCATGCAGATAGCCCCGTGGTCTAGTAAAAATTAAAAATGCCAATGTAATATATTAAAATCACTACTGGTATTTTTACTCATTTTTTGCTATTAAATTCCCAACCAATGAAAAATTTCTAGGCAGCATGCTCCGTAAATCTCCATAATCTTATCCGTTTTGCAGCACATCCTGACTTATTTACTTCCAAAAACGATCGTTTTTTTCAAATCCGAATTTCCTCCATTCATGTGTTTATGGTAAATAAAGGCAGATATCTCATTAATTTATTTACGATAACTCAATCAACTGAAAGATAAGTGTTATATGATTTACATAAAATATATTTCCAGTGTATTTATTAATTTAAGATGAAAGAAAATGATTTCTTTTCGTTTTAGATGAGCTAGTGCAATGCCCAGAAAAAAGAAAAATAATTTTTTAAATTCATTTTTATTTTCTATCATAATTATTAATTTATACATGATCCAAATTTACTAGTGAGAATTAAACTTTTATTTTAAAAAGAATGACCTTAAGGTCAAGATCTAGTAAATGAGTTTAGACGGTGTTTTGGTACTATATCCATTATGACATCATAATTGATTTAAACTTAATTTTTCCCGTACTTTACGGCTATAACAGAATTATGTAGAAAATGACGCATTTCATGGAATTCAATTTGAAACCATGTTAAAAGGAACCCTGAAACCTATATTCAATTTAATATCATTTTAAAGTAGAGGTCAAGAAGATATGAATAACTGTTTTCTGAGAGTCTGTAGGCAATAAAGATACATTTCCTATGTCTGAGATGGAGAAAACTCTCATTCTTACACCTGATTTTCTTCATTTTTCTTTGAAAAGGGCAGTTTAAAATATGTTTTTTCATTGAGTTTATCTTAAAATTATGTCCCGATACACCTTAATTCATTATGCTATAATTGTAAATTAAAGATTATTAAAGGAATCCGTTTCTCAAATTTGAGAAATCTGTAGCACTCTTCATTTACTAGATCTTGACCATAAAACCCTGACTTTTTCAACAATAATCTATTTATTTTCAATATTAGTTGTTTATTCCCCCCCCCCCCCCACGCATTTGGGCTAGTAACTTTTTACTTGGGGCTAGTAACTTTATTGCTGCCACTAGCCCATGGGCTAGTACTTGATTTTTTTAATTGCACACCCCTGGGGTGATAGGACAGGTACTGTTAAACAATATATATATATTTACATTTCCAACTATTTTTCCTTAAGATTCTTTGCAAATTACAAAAAAAGTTCATGTCCTCATAGACTCGTAGGAAGCAATTTCAGTTTGGGGGGGGCACAGCCATACATTTTTCAGTTGTCCGTTGTGGGGGCACTGTCAAAAATTTCTTGACAAGCAAAAGAAAAAAAAAAGGTCATCAGACATTTTTATTGAGGGGGCACAAGCATATAGTGTCTATGTTTACCATAGTAATCTATACATGGGCAAAATTATTGGGGGGGGGGGGGGAGCACAGCCATTGTAGGAAGCAATTTCAGTTTGGGGGGGCACAGCCATACATTTTTCAGTTGTCCGTTGTGGGGGCACTGTCAAAAATTTCTTGACAAGCAAAAGAAAAAAAAAGAAAAAAAAAAGGTCATCAGACATTTTTATTGAGGGGGCACAAGCATTTAGTGTCTATGTTTACCATAGTAATCTATACATGGGCAAAATTATTGGTGGGGGGGGGGGGGGAGCACAGCCATTGTAGGAAGCAATTTCAGTTTGGGGGGGCACAGCCATACATTTTTCAGTTGTCCGTTGTGGGGGCACTGTCAAAAATTTCTTGACAAGCAAAAGAAAAAAAAAAAAAGAAAAAAAAAAGGTCATCAGACATTTTTATTGAGGGGGCACAAGCATATAGTGTCTATGTTTACCATAGTAATCTATACATGGGCAAAATTATTGGGGGGGGGGAGCACAGCCCCCCCCCCCCCGGTTCCTACGGCCATGTCTCATGAACTACCGTGGGATGGGTAGGAATATTTCTATTGTGATGTGATTGAAGTAAAAAAATAGTGCAAACTTTTTTTTTTCAAAAATGATCATTGAATGACAAAAATATGTGTCAAGTCATCAGAAAAATAATGTAAATAAAATATGAGTTTAATTTATGAGAATTCATGAGGTACATGAACTACAACGCTTCACGCCTGCATATATATATCGTGAAGCGCTAATGTGCCAGCGTGAAGCGTCGTAGTCCATGTCCTAATGAATTCTCAAAAATTAAATTCATCTCTAAGTAAATTCTTTCAACTGGGATTATGGTATGAACTATGAAAGTTCTGGAGACTGATCTGAAATGTTAGTTCTAGGCCTAAAGGGTAGGATGAATTTTCATTGCTTTTGTTAGTAATTCTCCTAAAATGGGAGAGTGGAGATGGGATTGGGAGTAATGCTCCACCCTGAAAGGTTACTTTTATTCTGAGATAGTTCTAAATATTTTTTCTACATTGGAACCTATTATAGTACAATGTCCCAAATGGAAATTTGAATTAATATGGGAAAGAAATTTTATTTTGTCCAATGTAGAGTTAGCAATGGTTTGTAATACATGGAATTAACTTGAGCATTTTACAACAACCCATACTATCCTAAAAGAAAATTGTGATAAGTATTTTTCATGACCTGACTTCAAAAAGAAGCAAAGAATGGGGGTGTACAAGGCAAGGACAATCCCCCACTTTGAGCATGTTTTCAAAGTTCATAGAAATGTTATATTTTTCAAAAATTGTGTTGTCAGCAGTCATATTTAACACATTTGATTCATTTATTGTATTGAATAATTAATAGATTTATTTTTCTGAAAAATATGTATATGCTTCCACAAACTCTTTTTGGTTTTACTTAAGCCACTTAGATACAGTTGATTAATAAGTTTTTGTAGGGTAGTCCTTTACGCGTTTATCTTTCCGTCAAACTGTAAGCTTTGGTGAGAGTTCAAATCCTGTTAAACTCTTTTTTTTGTTATATATTTATCACATAACTTAAGAACATAAATTAAAACAAATTATCAGTTAATAAGTAATTCAGTAGAATAAGGAATGAAGTGTTTAAAAAGATGACATTGCTTACTACACATTTTTGGGGAAAAATATAACTTTTCTTTGAAATTGTCCCAGCGGTGGGGATTGACCTTGTATTATATGCCCTCATTCTAAATTTATTTTTCAGGGTACAGCTGGGTTTAGACTGTACAGCTAAGTTTATTTAATTGACCCATTTAAACACTGGGTCCTGTACCTTTTCAGTTGAGAATTTTAAATTGAAAAAGTGGCAAAATTTGGAAATAATGATGACTTACACCATGTTTTACTGTAGAGTAAAGGCAGGCAGATAGTAGGTTTATTCCCTGTTCACATCTTTATGAATCAAAATTTAAAGTTTTTTTTTCTACAAAAGGCACTGAAAAATTCAATCTTTTTGTCATTTGGGAATTTTTACCCAAATTTTGGGGAAAAAAGAGTCATTTTTTCAATTGTACAGGGTCCTTTTACTGGACCTGCATGCACTGTCTGGATATAATTAAGCCCTGTAAGGTGTAAACTTTCATGTAGTTGGGCTCATAAAGAGGGTGTAGTGAGAAATTAAGGTGATATAAATAACTCAGGGGTCGATGATGTAACAACAGGTGAGATAGGGTCATTATCACAGAGCGACTTCATGGGGGGGGACCCTACATTATCTATTGTGAATCATTAATGGTAAATCCAGAGCCATTGTTGTGAACAATTGCTTCATATGTGGGTCATTGGTTTAATTGATTTGATTTGTGACAGATTGTGTCTGTATATAGCTGAAGTTTTTTGGGGATTAAAAAAACCCAGTAAGTCTGAATCATATTTATTGTATTTTTAGAGCAGCTATGCAATTTTTCAAGGAAATGAGTCTTATGACAGTGGAATTCAAATTTTCCTGAATTTATTTTCATCAGCATAAGGGAATTATCACGAAAAGCAATAGTTAAGTTAAAGGGTAAACAAAATCCTCAAGTCAGTGTTAAAAGTTGTGTATTTTAAGGAAACTAGCTTATCAGTACCACTATATGCAAACAGTTTGAGTTTGTATTTTGTCTTGTACTACTTAGGTAAATGGTTAACTACTACTATTTTTTTCTATGCTTTGTTTTATATATGTATTAATTCTGATATTCTTTATATAATCATAATTTTTGATTCGATTAGCCAAGTGTGTTGTTTTTAACTGATTTGTATGAAACGTACTACATGAAGATTTTACATGATGTATGATTCGTGTCATTTGTCTTAACAGTCTTTACTTATTCCTTTGATGAATTCCATAACTTTAAATCTATTTTGTTTTTGCAGAAGAAGGCAAAAATGCCAGAGGACACAAAACTACAGCATATTCCTCAGCCCTCGGAGGCCGCAAAGCTTCCCCAGTTACCTCCCCTCTCTATAGACACCATGACACAGGTTTGTTTGTGTATTCTCATCTAGGGTCAGAAAATTAGAAAGAATGATACACTTCTTAGCTTTATTACTGTTCAGATATCTCTGAACTGATATTTTTTAGGATACTGTTTTTGATACCACTTGCAGAAAGCGTGTTTTTAAATTGTGAAAACACTTGGTAGACATAGGACTTGGATACATGGACTAGTTTGGCTTTCCATAAATATTATAATTTTGTATCTATATTTTATTTTTTTTCTCACGCATAGCTAATATGACAAATATATACAAGTGTTCTGATTTTAATTTTGATGATCCAGAGAACCTGTTCTGTGTTATATTTTAATGAGTTGAAATTTCTCCTACATTCCTGGGAATACAATTAGCAGTTAAGTGCTATCTGATTAGGTTCCTGTCAGCTTGTGTCATCAGAGTTTTCTCTTTATCTCTTTGTTCACAGATTTTTGAGAAAAGGTTTCTACCATCCACTCACATTTTTTTTCAGATCTCATTACTTCCTGAAAAACCGTTTTTAAGAGTGCTTTTCCTTTTTCACACAAGAATAATGATGATTTACCTATCCTGTTTAATTTTTAATGCAATGATATATTATAATCGCAAGCCTTCAAGTAACCTTCACATAATTCAGAGACCGTTTTGTGGAAAAGGTTGAGGTTTTGAATTATGCATATAAGAATCATTTCAAGATAACATGTCAACAGTAAAGGTAAATGTAACAGGTCTTAGAAATACCTGTTGGTGTTGATACTCCTCTTGTTATTTTAGTATGTAAAGAAAGTGTGCTTGTATAATTCCATCTACTTCTAAAGATGCTTTGCTCTAACAATATCTTTTGGCAGAAAGCTTTTCTGCATTATTCTAGTAAAGGTATAGAGTTGATACCCGAGTTCTCTCTGTGTTAGGTCCTGTGTTATTCTAGTAAAGGTATAGAGTTGATACCGAGTTCTCTCTGTGGTTAGGTCCTGTGTTATTCTAGTAAAGGTATAGAGTTGATACCGAGTTCTCTCTGTGTTAGGTCCTGTATTATTCTAGGAAAGGTATAGAGTTGATACCCGAGTTCTCTCTGTGTTAGGTCCTGTATTATTCTAGTAAAGGTATGGAGTTGATACCCGAGTTCTCTCTGTTTTAGGTCGAGTTGCAGGATTTTATTCCTCAGCTGGTCAGTATAATGATGACCAACAGAGCTGGATTGTACAGGAAGAACTCGAGGCCTGAGTGGTGGCCGTCAGACTTACCATGGACGGGGACCAAGACGGACCTCCTGTACCAAGAGGTTGGTTTATTTAAAACATATTGGCTATTAAAAAGAAAATCGTCAAAATTTAACATGGTCAAAAATTTGGTGTTTCAATAAAATTTTGAATAAAATTCTCAATTTAAATAATTTTTTTTTTGAATTTCTTTTCAACAGACAAGAACCTTTTCCCTTCCTTTTTGTTCATTGCTTTTTTTCTTAGGACTTAATTTGCCTGTAATTTCAAAACTGTTGGTTATATACAATTCATGTGAAGTTTTACCATTTATTGCTACTTATTCTAATGTTTAAAATAATAATATAAAATTTCAAAGAGCTCTTCTAAATGTTCCACTTCTGTAGAGTAATTGGTCGGAGCCCTTAAGAGATGCAATAAGGAAGTGTTACCGTCACATGGGACAGGAGCGATTACTGAAGATGACGCGACGAGACAACAAACAGGTATAACTGAGGGGTCATATAATAGGAATTTATCAGGATCCACATTTTGGCACCTTTCATACAATCGTTTTTCTATCAATTCATTAATTCCTCCAGAGCTTGATTTCATATTTACATACATGTATATGCTTAGGGGTGCTTAATAGGGATAATCCACTAAGTCAAAGAAATGGTAATAGTGCACTTGATTGTCCATGGCCAGGTGTTTGCTAAATTTTGAATGTGCTTTTTTAAAGTAAGAACATGTACAGTGAAACTGATTACTGTTACAGCTTTTGTTTTGATTTTAAATATATTTTTGCATTTTCCAAGAAAAAATAAAATGATAGGGATGGGTATCACCAGAAGTTTCGTATCGTGATATTCCATGATTTTTCCCCAAAATATTGCGATAAAATCAGGATATTTTTACCAGGAATTTTTACTTCATTTTCAAATGAATTTCCATAATTTTTCTTACAAATACACTGCAAAAATATAACTTTACTTTTTTCTATTTTTATTTTAATATGTAATATAAAGAATATTTGGATGCCTTAGTTTAACTATTTTCAATATTTTTTATACTTTCTTTAATTTCTATTTAATAGTTCGAAAAAATAAACATGATAAATTAGTAAGTTCTGGAATTAATAATGATGTACCAAATACCGCTATTTTAGTCTCCGTATCACGATACATATCATGCAATAAAAAATCACGATATACTGGTATACTGATAAAATCGCGCATCCCTATAAAATGACTACTCTTTTTTGAACTGCTTTTCTAGCATATCAAGCAAATAGACCTTTACATTTTAAGTCCTTGGTCTATTAAATTTTGATAATATACTGAGATCTCAAAATGTCATCTTTTTAATTAAAATTGTTTGTCCTATCTAGAATATGGCTTCAACACTATTGGATTTTGATTTTATTTTAAATTCTCTAGTTCACTGTTATATAACCCCTGCTGTAGAAAATGTTTTATGCAGAGTTTTTGCTACTAGGATGGTACAGATTGGTCAGGATTTTGCAAAATAAGTTTGGCCATATATACTAAAGCCTTTTCTTAAATTTTCTGAATAAAATGATTTGTAATTTTAGGCTTCCACCTCCAGCAGTCGAAGCAAACCAGAGGAAATGCTGGATTCTTCATCAAATTATTACATAAACCCCACAGACAACAGTAAGTATTGAGTTAGCCATGTTTTAAAGGAAAAGAAAACTTATGATCTGATAAATTAATACAATATACTTACATTAAATCTGCTAGAATTTGAATTGAATTTAAAAAAAAAAAGATAAGTTTATGTAAAGAATTTTCAATTTAAAAATGTGTCAATTTTAATACTCTTCCTGTTTTAGAGAAGAAAACCTGCCAATATGCTGAGATCTATATCTGTTATTTCTGTGAGAGCGAGTTCTCTGACCGGACATTGATGCGAGAACACCAGGCTCAGTGTCAGGAGAGACCCCCACAGCTTCAGGAGGCCTTAAAGACCCCACCTCAGTCCACAGACCCCACCCAGGGGCCACCACAGATGAGTCCTGTCAAACTGAACCTCAGCTGTAAAGCCCCCCGTATTCCCAAAGATGGCTTCATAAAGATGTTCAATTTAGTACCTACACAGAAAGTGGACAAGATTCTGGCACGACATAGAAACAGTCTGGATGTAGAGTGTGAGGAGTTGGATTATTCTGTCCCAGAGACTCCGATTTCTCCCACCACCCCACGTACACCAAAGTCTCTCATCTCGCAGCTCAGCCGAGATGAGGGTCCGTCTTCCAGAAAGAGGCTGAGTTACACAGAGGGTGGGGATAATGAGGATAAGGAAAGTGTTGTGAGTGGCTGCAGTGAAGATGCGGAGGAGAAGGCCACCCAGAAAGGGAAATCTCTACTGACGATAGACATCTCCTCTCTGCTGGGACAGAGGATTCAGAAGCACGTTAAATCGGACTCGTTTATTCAGGTGATCGGTGATTCCGAATCATTCTGTAAAACCCCTGTCAAAAACTCTTTCTATGAAAAACTACGCAATCGTACCGTTTCATATCCTGTGTTATATAAACAGAGGAGGAAGCATGATGGGAAGTTTGTGCATGCGTATGGATTTACAAACGGGCAGAAACGAGAAATCAAGAAAAGACTGAAATCTGGATTGAATAAAAAGAGCCGAGAGCTTCAGAAGAGTATGCCAAAATGTTCAGTGGAAGTAGCAAGGCTGACTAAGTGGGAACTAAAGAGATTCATGTCCAAACACTGCTTCAGAAAATTTTTGAATCTCAAACCTGAAGTTAGTATGTCTGAATCAGAATTTCCAAAGGAGCCACTTCTGCTGTCTCAAAATGTGGATAAACTGCTCGGGCTGAAGAAGAGATCTGAACTGAGTGTAGGGAAACTGAATCGATTGGCTCCAGTGAATGTTGTGTCTGAAGATGCTAATGCAGAAATCACCAAACATAAGTTAACTCTGTATCGATGTTTGTTATCTGATTTGGCTACCATGCAGTCAAGCTTGAAGAAAAGTAAGTCAACACATGCACTCCAGCAGTCTCTGAAACTGGAACTCAAACAGGCACCACTAGACAGGGAAGTTTCAGAACAGGCATTAACAATAAAAGTACCAGGACACAGGTCACCTAAGTTACCTCTGAGTCCGCCTACTACACCCTCCATACTGAAGCAGAAGGACACCAAATCTAAGAAACAATCCTCAAAGCTAACAGAGGACGACATATCCATCATTTCAATTTCTTCTGATGAGGAATCTTTAAGTTCTCGATGCTGTATGGCCTGTAAGAGGAAAAAATTATGTCCGTGTTCACCTGAGGTCTCACTGAACCGAGTCTGTTCCTCCCCTTCCATTTGTGCCCTGAGTGTGTCTGTAGCGAGTTCTACTTCCATTACCCCACAGGTTTCCCCATGTAGTTGTATATCCTCCCCTGAGTCGGAGAACTCCCTTCATCTAAAGCTGTCCCCGTCACCCGACCTGGTCCAGTGGCATGTAAAGGCTCTGAAACCACCAGCAGTCGTAAATAAAACAGTCTCCAAGCCGCTACGCAAATCTGACACAGAAATGCCTGTGTCTTCCTCCCCAGCTTTGAGACAAAGGAGTAACAGCTCCACTCAGAAACAGGACACAGTGGAGGGAAAAGAGAAGTCTGTCGTGTCCAAGTCTCCTGTGAAGAAACCACTCAGTACATCTACACCAAGAACCTCACCCAGAAAACTGTCGCTACAACCAGCCACCTCTTCAACAGAGGTCAAAGTTCAAAGTATACCAAAAGAAAAGGACAAAAGTGCAATGAAGAAAATGTGTTCAGAAGAAAGCAAATCTGGTACAAAACAAACTGCTTCACAGAAATCTCCTCAGAAGAAAGGATCCCCTGTGAAGAATATTGAGTATGACCTCATCATCAGAACGAGGTCCAAGGCAGGGATTCCCCTGAAGAGATCTAAGAGAATCATGTCAGCCTCGGAAGGCTCCCCACAGGGTAGTCCAAAAAAGATGAAGTTGGACACTAGATGAAGAGCCTCTACCGGGTAGACAGAAAGTGTGGTCAAAGAAATCTGTTTCACATGAGGAGATGAAGGGTAGATATTCTGAGTATGAAAGTAAAATGACAAGATTTTTATGATGTGTTCATGTGTGAAACAGCTCTGGAATTTTTCCAGGCCAAGGAAGTAGTGAACCACCATTTATCTGACTGAATGGAGTGAAAAAGAGTAGATATTTTGAAAGTCAGACTCCAATGCAATAAAATGCTTCATTCCTGTGCTCTGATCTCCTGCTGATGGATGACTGTGAGTTGCAGATATTTTAACACTTGTGTTCTGTACCAAAGTTACACGTAATTGCATGTTACTTTTATTCTGTATTGTTATGACGTACATTTATCACATTAGGTTTGGGTAGAGCATTTCTCCATGAGAAGCATGAATGCCTATAATTAGTATGATAAAACACTGTAAATTTGAAACTATCTGACCTGTATACATGTGGAATCTATACTAAATAGTGCTTTTTTATGATGGTGCTGTTTTAATCTGATAGAAGGATATTTTTATCATTGCTCTTCAGGAAGTGTAATGTCTACTGCATACATTTGCCAAACACTCATATAATATGGTTATTATTAGAATTAAATATGATAGTGAAGAAAGCTTACTTAGAGAATTTAAATTTTTTAAAATTCTTTGAGGACATGTTTAAAGTTTTGAGAGTTGTATTCAGTAGCCAAAATTTGTTACCTACTTAAACCAAAAGCTGTTGTAGGTTATTTGCTATCTCTAAGACCTTACAATATTTTCTGTCCATGAACTGCTAGCAAAAAATACAGATGGGTATTGAGGACCCTCTCTACACTGAACACTAATTTCAGGGTACTTTTGTGTGATTAGACTGATCCACCAGGTGGCATAAAATGAAATAAATTGCAATATGCACTGTATTTTATGATTTGAAATTAATTCAAGTATTCTAAACATTACATTAGACCAAGATGAGTGTAACTGCAAAACTTTATTTGCATGAATTTTCCTTATTTGAGTAAGCAAACACGATTTTTTCTTTATCGGTACTTTGTTGTTGGAAGATTTTTTCTGGGTAAAAAAGGGATGCATCCTGTGCTAAGTATGAACTAGATAATGAACTCCATTATGCTATATAATTTTTTCAGTCCAAAAAACATTCTTCATCAGTGTATAAAGGGGCCGTAAATGAATTAAAGAGCAAAATTTTCGTGCAAATGTTGTGAGAGGTCTTTTTGTGTAGCAAGTAGTCTACAATAACCAATTTATGATGTGATAGTGTTAACAAAGAAAAAATTCTATTTTTTCATTATGATTTTGTTGTTGAATATTTTTTTTTTTAATTTGAGAATCAAAACTATAAAATTCCTGATGCATATGAAATAATAAATCTTCCCTTATCATTTATACAGTTTGTTGTGTGATAGTTTGCAATGCGTGAGATCTTTCTGTTTTAGAAAAGAGATTATGAGCAAAGGTTGTAGTCGGAGGACATATATGTATAAATGTTGACTATTTCTAAATTCGGGCATTACTGGTCAAGTCTTAGTCATTTTTGTTATCCATATGTAGTTATCTTTTTTACTTTGTGTGTTTTATGTTTTAGCATGCTAAATTTGTTTTGAAAGAAATTCAACAACTGAGGATTATTTGTTCATATGGAAATTATTGAAAATGTGTAAATGTATTTAATTTTCTGTTCAGTTGCTAACACGTTATTGCATGGTTTCAGATGTTCTGTTGAAGAGTGATTTAAATGTACATCAACTTTGTTTCCCTGTATTAATTAATTATTTTGGTTTCGTCTTCATTTTGTGAACAAAAATACAGCACTGATCATCGACCTCCTACTCCTTAAGCGTGACCAGTGCGACACCTTGGGTACTGTAAATTACTAAATATTAGAGACACTTTTTTTTCACAAGACACCTTATTTTATTTTATTTATAAGCAAAACATAATTTTCTCTAATTTTCGTTATCTTTCTATATAATCTTTGGTAATACAAATATATGCAAGAATTAAATTTTTTCGAGCGGGCAGTCTCACGTAATTACTTGGAAATAAAGTAAAAGTGATTTACAGTAACTGACCCTGCTTGTCAGATTAGTTGATACTTGGGGTAGATTGTTAGTCGTTTAAACCAAAGGTGCATAGAAGCATAATAGTGCAACCATGACAGTGTGTTGTTCGTTCTCCTAGGCTTGAGTTGAGTAAATGTCCTTTGTGCTTTGGTTATAAAGATTACGGTTTTGCCAAGCAACATTTAGTTGCAACTGCCAATATAGACTGAATCATGTAAAAAGTACTTTATGTTACCATGACTGAATGTATTTCAGTATAGTATTAAAGAAATTTAGAAGTTTTGAAAAGCACTAGAGATATTTATTCTCTGAAGACATGGACCACCTCTCAATCCATATACATGTTTGTAAATATTCATTTTTATTTTGATGTATATGCAATCAATATATTTTATTTTTCATGTGTAGAACAAAAGCAACAATTATAATTATTTTGTTTACTTGTAGATAGTTTTAGTTCCGATTTTTTCTCTAGATTTTGGGATGTGGAACAATTGGTTTCCTCAATTTGTCACTAAGCTCATGGGAAAAATACTTCTCCCACTTAAGAAAGAGAGAGAGTGAGATAGAGAAAGGTTTCAAAAAGTATTTTGCAGTGCCATATGGGTTGTAATTGAAAGCTGAGCTTTCAGACTTCCTCAAAAGTTTCCATTTTTGTGTATTCATCAATTTTGCAACATCTTAACCGATTCTATAAAATCATCTTTAATCATCAAAAGAAGAAAATCTTCACAGATCACAAGGGGCTAGCCATTGTTATCACCTTGTATTAATCTTGCTTGGAAGAGCATCTTGTTGTTTGTGCAGTAAACACCATTATAATTATCTTTTCTGCCACTGAATATCATGGTTTGCTAGAGAGGTAGTACACCCATATTAAATTTTATGTCAACAGGGGTTTTAGAGCATGAAAGAGATTCCTTGTTTGTGTTTACAATCTTTAACAGCTCTGTTATAAAACAAATGTTTGTAAAATTAGCAGTAAAACTACTTGGTGACACTGAATTTTGGGTAAGATTTACAATCTTGCAAGCATCACATTTGTTTTCATTTTCAGTGGAGGTGCAGTTCACAAAGTATTTTTTGTTTAGACCGTTGTTCATTTCTGCATTGTTGAAATTTTAGTCATGTTCTGTTGATTTTTAATGTTCAAATGAATTTGCTTTTTAGTTGTCCATCTTTTTTTGATCTTCATTTTTTTTTCCGATTCTGTACATGTACATTGATACATTAAACCATGGTTATCAGTGGAACTGTTTTAGTTTATGTATCAGATACTAGATGAATTTGTTTAACCTGTGAACTGTTTTTATTGGATTTTACCAGACTGATTGTTTTATCATAGATCTGCTAATAGACTACAGTAATTTTAGAACAAACTTGTTAAATATGAAAATCATCATTACTAATTAAAAAAAATGTTCAGAATTAAAGCAACTGTCACATACACTTCTAATACGTCTTTGTTTTCAATTACTGTGTAGAGTTACTTTTCTCCTGTAGCTCACAGTTTCAACCAATTTAAAAGTCCAGGCTCAGTTGCCTTAAAAGAGAGACAACTCTGCCCTGTTGAATTCATGCACTGATGATGGCAAAAGGGGTGACAACTTTCCTATACAGTACAAGATGCAGTGGCAGGGTTTTATTCTACTTCTTATGTATGGTGAATTGTTAGGTTAAAATACAGCCACCACTTATATCATGTGTAAATTACTGCAAACAGAAATCAAATTCTGGCACCTTTCACACTGCTTTGTGTCTGCTAATTTTTTGCACATGCTAATGCATGATAAACACCATTTTCAAGTCTTAAATATGCCAATTTATGATTGTGCTAATCGGTTACATGAAGAGGATGATTGCACAGTTTCTCGAGTGTTAATTTATGTACATTAATTTTTCAATATAGGATCCAACTAGAGTTCCATTGTCAAAGCTGTACAGTAGAACACACTTAAAGCAAAGTGCCAAGGACAAATTTGTAATTCAATTCATCCATTAAATTTTATATTTTGAAACTACAGGTATTAAATCATATTGCTACAAGTGTGAATTTTCTACAAGCATGTTCCTTGTAGCCATGTTTTACTATTACAACGGTTATCTCAACCCCTAACAGTGGAAAGAATTAACACCATTCCATCCCATACTTGTTCTTTATCATACTATTAAATCCCTTATAATAACTTTGAGGTTTGAAGCAAAAAAATTAGTTTGTGGGGATTTGACTTTGTGACTGAATGCAATCTAATTAAAATTAGATGTTCCGAATCCGCTACCGCTTCTCAATCTAATTAAAACAAGCATTCTGAGAGTATTGCATTAGCAATACTAGTCCCCTACCGGCAACTGTAATCTGGTTCCCATTAAGAATTGAAAATGCCATAATTCCGTCAAAAAATCAATGAGGCGGAACAAAATGCAAACTTGATCTTTAACTCATCAAGGTAAAGACACATACCAAAAAGCAGCTCAATATCTGCAAGCGTTTAGAAGAAAAGTACAGAAAACCAAGTGGGACAGACTGACAGACAGATAGAGGGACAGACAGACAGACTGACAGAAAGATGGACAGACTCAGAGGAAACCTATAGTCCCCTCCGGCTTTACCGGTAGGGGACTTATTAGATGTTCCGAATCCGTTACCGTTTGAGAAGCGGTAGCGGATTCGGAACATCTAATTTTAATTAGATTGGACTGAATGTGTTCAACTCCCAAGAAAATCGGCCATTTTGCAGCATGTAAGGAATAAGATAAACACAAATTCTTAAAATTTTAATGGCTTTTTTAAATTGCAATATGAAGCGATGTTTGGCCTTTTAAGGAAGAAATCTTGTCTAATTCTGTTACAAATCAGATCTGTATGAAAAATGACTGAATAACTACTAATCAATCAAATAACTGAATAACTCCTGATCAAATAAATAACTGCTTTATGTTTTACTTGCCGTTTTCTCAGAGAAAGTCATAACAAGCAACAGGTCCTTTCTCTGATTAAGTGAACACATGATAATCAATACATCAGAGTTAAGTACACATGTACTGAGGAAATACATGTACGTAATTCCCACTCTTAACAGAGTGAACAAGACTCTAACAAAACATAATCATTGAAAACAATGAAGGAACATTAGTTTGAGCTCTGTATTGTGATTACTATTGTGATCCTATAAAAAGTTAGCACCTTGGTCATAATGCACGACATACAAAATGTTACAAAAATTCATGAAACTTGTTCGATTGCAAACTTTAACTACAGGTGACAAATGTTATAAGTATTTCATTACAGTCATAAATGATTTGTTTTCATTGATTTGTTAGGCTAAAAAAATCTGTAAAATGTATGAAGCTATTGTTAATTTACATCTATAGGTAAATATTTTTGGGAATTTCATATCTACAGTACATCAGTTACAGCTTGAACCAATCTTCACAAAAATTAACAAAATTATAAAAAAAAAAAAATTCAATGGTTTACATTTAATATTTTTCACAATGCTTTAATACAAAATCAAATTCTGTAATCTATGAGCTGAATTGTTCAAGTATATGCGCAGAATCAACCATTGCACGTCACCCTGTATTACTTAGTATTACGAGGCATGGTCTATTAATGTTGGCCTAATTAGGATCAAATTGTTAATTAGAATATATACATCCATAAATAGTTTTTAATTAGCCAAAATTTTATAATGTTCTGTGCTTCTCATTTTTTCCAATGCATGTGTGAGAAAAAAAAAATGTATAAACAGTCTATATATACCTTGTGTACATTTTGTGTCATTTTAAATCTACAGATTAAACCATATATTGCATTTTCTAATATGCAGCTCATGTACCTAATATAATATTCACAAAGTTTGACAATGAAACTAAAGAATCTGATTTCATACAACCCTGTAGGACTGAGTGAGAGACTTTTGTTCAGTACTGTAGTTGGAAGCGCTGAGACGGAAATTATCACAGTTAAATTGTATTATGCCAGAATATTATATTACACTTTATCACACACTCAAGTAATGAGAATCGAAAGGTTTAAATGTCAAAAATTTAAAACAATGTGCTCTGAAAGGTCTAAAAGGTATTTGAGATTAACAAAATAGATGAGATGGAAAATACTGTTAGATAAGAGCTGCTGCTAATTTGTAAAGCTGTGGTACAGGTCTGGTTTGATTCTATTTTAATTGAGCAATGATATATCTACTTTCTCACAATCTGAGACTTCCTGCAATTTCGCTTGAAATAGTTCTTGACTAACTTGTAATACATTGTACATGTATGAAAGTTTGAGTCCTAATTTCCTTATTTCATTATTCAGTTTCTTTCTTTTTGAACCAAAGAATTAAGAATTTTCTGTTTATAATCAAAATTCCTAAGAAAAAAATTATGAGCACTAGTCTCGTGTTTATATTCTAATGCTGTGACTTGATAGTTAATTGGAATAAAAAGTTAGGAAGAAAAACGGAAATTTCCCTTGTTTTACAGAAACAGAAGTAAAACAAACCGGGTTAACAGGAGACAGAGTTTATGTAAATACAGTTTAGATCAGAATAATTAGCTGACAATGAACTGAAGTTGTATACCCTCAACTCTCTCAGTGTATGAAGTCCAATATTGCACAGAAAATCATACATACCTCCCACATACACTAATTAAAAACATAGGTAATCAAAGATTACGAAGCTCACCTCGACGAATGTTATCTACATGTAAGGCAAATTTCACATCATATTTTTTTTCTAGTTAGGGTACATCCCAAGATCAATATCCATGCAAGTTTGATTTAATTATAGACCTGCTCAAAAAACTTTTGACCTGTTTAGTAATCAAGAAAATTTTGGTCAGTTCCAACATCCAAAGCAAGTCTGGAAGTTTTCATCCTTAGATGCACCATCTATGCAAGTTTAATCATAACAGGCCATAATTTTATATAGCTACTCCAAAAAAATTACCCTGGTCACTCTTCTGGAAAATGTACATCAGATTCAGAATCCAAGGCAAGTCTGGAAGTGTCCATCCCTAGATACATCATCCATGCTAATTTGGTTAAAATATGGCTAAAATTCACTCATGTGGAAAATCTAGGTCAGATCCAGCATTCGAAGCAGGTTGGTTAGTGTACATCCCTAGATGCATCATCCATGAAAGGTTGGTCCAGGTAGGGCTTATAGTTACTTGGGAATGAGACTACTCCTAAATCTAAACCTGGTCTCACATGTGGAAAATCTAGATCAGATCCAGCATCTGAACAAGTGTGGTAGTGTCCATCCCTGGATGCATCATCCATGCAAGTTTGGTCCGGGTAGGGTTTATAGTAACTTGGGAATGGACCTGCTCCTAAAACTTTAACCTGGTCACTCATCTGGAAAATATAGGTCAGATCCAGCATCCGAAGCAAGTTTGGTAGTGTTCATCCCTAGATGCATCATCCATGCAAGTTTGGTCAAGGTAGGGCTTATAGTTACTTGGGAATGGACCTGCTCCTAAAACTTTAACCTGGTCACTCATCTGGAAAATCTAGGTCAGATCCAGCATCCGAAGTAAGTGTGGCCATGTCCATCCCTAGATGCATCATCCATGCAAGTTTGGTCAAGGTAGGGCTTATAGTTACTTGGGAATGGACCTGCTCCTAAAACTTTAACCTGGTCACTCATCTGGAAAATCTAGGTCAGATCCAGCATCCGAAGCAAGTTTGGTAGTGTCCATCCCTAGATGCATCATCCATGCAAGTTTGGTCAAGGTAGGGCTTATAGTTACTTGGGAATGGACCTGCTCCTAAAACTTTAACCTGGTCACTCATCCGGATAATCTAGGTCAGATCCAGCATCCGAAGCAAGTGTGGTAGTGTCCATCCCTAGATGCATCATCAATGCAAGTTTGATCCAGGTAGGGCTTATAGTTACTAAGGAATGGACCTGTTCCTAAAACTTTAACCTGGTCACTCATCTGGAAAATCTAGGTCAGATCCAGCATCCGAAGCAAGTTTGGTAGTGTCCATCCCTAGATGCATCATCCATGCAAGTTTGGTCCAGGTAGGGCTTATAGTTACTTGGGAATGGGACTTGCTCCTAAAACTTTAACCTGGGACGCCGACGCTAACGCCGACGCCGACGCCGACACCGACGCCGACGCCGGGGGTATAGCATAAGCTCATCTCGACTTCGTCGAGGTGAGCTAAAAAAATTGTCATACAATTGCACTCTTGTGTATACATAAAAAATCCACTCAATATGGAATTCTGAATAAAATAATCCTCATTACACAAATAAACACATTTCTACTTTCACTTTGACACTAATCTACTTTCACTTAGGTCATTGCTTGGAATCTAGAGTGGTTGGCTGTGATGGCTGTCGCCTCTGTACTTCTGGAGATCTTGGGGGCTTTTTCATGACAGGTGGTTTGACCTTGGGAGGAAGTTTTGGTTTCTCTGCCACTGGGGGAGGTTGTTTGTTCCCTGACAATCCAGTGGGGGGAAGCACTGGTGGTACAGACATGGAAGATGTCATCGATGATGTCATTGATGATGTCATGCTGGATGACACTTCTGATGAGGTCAGTGATGATGTCATAGAAGCTGACATGAGGGGTGAGACAGGGCCTTTAGCAGAGCCCTCTCGAGCACTTCCCGGTCTCTTCCTCCCTGCAAACGATCCCAGTAATGGTTGTCCAGTCATGAATGTTGACCCACTTTGTTCAGCTTCTAAGAAAGGTCCAGGGATATTCCTAGGCATTGAGTTGGCCTTCTTCAGTGTTCCCTGATTAGACTGAGCAAACGTATCAGCAGTGGTTGTGGGGCTGTCAGGTTCACTAAGATCCTGAGGTGACACATTAGTGCCCTCCGTGGGAAGATCCAGCACGAGATCAGGGGTATGTTTAGGGGTGTGCTTTATGTTCGGTAAACTCATTCGTTTGTCTGATCTCAGTTGCATGTCTGATCTCTGTTGCATCTCCAGAGATCTAAGTCCAGACACTACCTCAGCTAAAGCACTATCTATATCTACATCAGCACTTATATCCTCGTGATCTGGCCTAACCGTATTGTCTTCTTCCTCAACAATTTTCAAGTCTTTTTCTGTCCTTCTCTTTACTTGGAGTTTTGGGGAACTATTTGGTAATGTAGGCGGGCCACTTGAGAAGTCCTTTGGACCCAGGGAGGACCGAGGGGTCCCTGAGGGTGTGACGTGGGGGGAAAGTTTTTCTGATTCGCTGTTCTTGGGGGTGGACTGCTGGGGTGGTTTCTCGAGCTCCTCAGGCTCGGTGAGAATTGTGGGGAGCTGTGAAGCGCTGACCTTGCTGAGCGTGGACGATCGACTCACTCCATCTTCGTCAGAATGACTTCTCCTTTCTTCAGGGCTGAAAACCAGAAGAAAGTATTTGAATTTTGGCTTTAATACACTACTGTGGAATAATCATCGTTTATGACTGACCAATGTTTGTAGATTTTGTGGGTCACCCTCACCCATGAAATTTTCATTGAACATTAATTATGTTAATGAGTAGCCCACAAAATTACATTCCCATATATCAGTAAAATTTTGGCTACCCACAAACATTGACCCCCACAAATTAAAATGATTCCACAGTATATGATACTTACTTAGCACAATACACATTCATGTACCTCCTATTCCTTATATCCATTACTAATCAATTGAGTACTGGTTACTTAAACCGACACAGATGAACACTGCCTATTGATGACTGATAAAAGACTTTTCAGAAAAAATTCATTCCATCAAAAAAGAAATTAAAATTCATATTAATAAAGGTCTCTTGTACATAATGTTATGAGAATCTGAACAATAATTAATATGAATTTGTTTTGGATTGCAGAGAAAAATAAAACTTTTTTTTTTACTATCCCTGAACACCAAACAAGTGGACAATCAAAATACACAGATACATGTATATGCAGTACTTCAAATTCAAAACAGTGTAATGGGTTAGAAAATTCACTCCATGGTATAAACCTGTGAAGAGTTAAAAATAAACAATTCATCCTAAAAAGGGGTGAAAGGTCAAACTTAAAATCTGTTTAGAGTGTGCAAGGCAGTGTATAATCTTGTAGAAACGATCAGAGTTTAGGATGGGGACAAAAAATGAATGAATAAAAGGACTTCATAATTGGGGAAAAAAAGATGACCTCTTAGATTACAAGTAGATTAGTGCTGCCTGTGATTTCCTAGATAATTCCAGGTAGACTACTGTTACCTGTCCATTCATAGATAAATGAGAGTCCTCCCATCTGGAAAGAGACGAGGTCTCACTGTCCCGAAATAAACGAGTTTTTTTAAAAGTAAATATCAGGTATTCAAATAAAAATATTACTTGTTTGACATAAATCATTCCAGCTAATGAAAAATAAATTTTCTTCTTTTGAGTATCAAGATTTTAAAGCTGTGATTGTCCAACCTTCATTAGAGTGAATTTCAGAGGATGATGGTTAAACCTATTTTTTATGTTGCATGTATAGAAATACAGTGTACCACTTCCCAAGAATTAATTTCATTATATGCCTCATTCCTCTGATCATGCTGATGTTTATTAATTGATCTATCATTCACAGAGTCTGGTTCCTTTACATTCTGATGTTAGGCAAAGTTTTCTGATCATATATGGTTAAATATCCATGCACTTATTTGAAATTTCATTAAGTTTTCCATTCCCATGAATTTTGTTGAGATTTCTTTCCTATCTACCTTTAAATATTCAAGTGAAAGCCTCTCTCACTGACTTTCTGATGTTTGCAAAGAATTTCTTTGTCATCTGAAAGCAGCAATTATAGATTCCATTATTTTGATAAAATAAAAATAAAAATTTGATTTTTTGCTCAATGTTGAAAATCTCAAGCTAATAAAATAATAAGCCGTTAAGGTTCCATATATTTCATTTTACTCACGACAGAATAAAAACAATAATTTATGATCCAACAATGTCAGAGACTAGGATAGAAAAAAGATTTGCTACATCTGTAGTGTTGGACAGAACTCCCATTACCAGTTATTGGAATGGTCACTTACTTTACACATTACAAACTCATTGTTCATGACATGTAAAAAGAGAGCTAGTTACACATCTGATCTTTAGCCTTCTTAATATCTGTAAGCCGACACTATGGTATTTTGTGGCCCAGTAAAAGTTCTGAACCCTCGTATAATACTTACGGGTGTTTAAGGTTGATGTAGCGGTCTGGTATCAGCCCCTCCTTCCCCTGGTACAGCCCCTCCCACCAATCCTGAGATACCCGGTGATACACCAATAGGGTGTCATGTTTCTTAAATGACAATTCTCTCTCCGTCCTTCCCTCAAAGTCATACAGCGCTACAGCTTCAAAGATTTGAGCATCTGTCAAAAGCAAAAGTCAGACAAACCAAAATTAGATCAACCGTTTACTCAATTAGTGACTGAAAGATACTATGTGAAGCCAACCTGAAAGAGATATACAGTTTAATTTACATGTTTATTTATTAATCTTGTAAATTTAATTTATGTTTACTACTACTCAGTTTGATTTTATGATTATGATATTACATGGGTTATATTTATTTATTAATATTATTTCTAAGAATTAGTGAGTTAAATATTTGAAGCTCTTGGGTTCCAATACGGAGATTTTTTTTAATTTCTTGAAAGATAAGAGCTGGGACAATTAGAAACTAAAACCATTATACAAAATTCATAAGGGGAAGAATCTCATGCTTTTTTAACTGAAATTAAAACTACATCTAAATTTTCTAATAGGGACAAACTGCTCATATTTAAACATTTCTGTTAATTTTGACATGCTTTTCCTACTTTTGTTAATTTTTCAGGTCTCTGAATCATTCATTTTACTGGGGTAAAAGACTTAACAATCCAATGGCATCTGAATCAGAAGACACTTGTATTTTAGACTCTCTGGAGCCTTAATTTACACATTGATACAATATATCCCAGTCCTTTATAAATACACAGCTGTAGACATTAGAACCATGTTTTATAATATGCCAACCCCTTGTGCTGTGAATGGGTACATGTATTAGTGCTATATTGGAGTAAGCAGTGCAGAGTTAAGTCGTTTGTGACTTGGCCTGTACACATGAACCTAACAATAAACATTTCTGTTTGTCCATGCAAAAATTTGACTTCTTTGAAACACTTTGGACAACACAGAAGGTTAGACTGTTTTCTCAAGAATTTTGCTGTCAAGAACTCAAATGCCACATTCCCTATGGTGACTACCAAACTTTATTTTTATAACAGCCCTCAATGAGAACACTGACTCTCAAATGAAGAAAGAAGGCAAATATAACCTAGCTTAAGAGTAAAATATACCTGAAGACTGGATTTAAAATGTTGAAGACCTCATGATAACTAAAACCTATCAAGAAGACAGTGGAAAAAATATTCCTTCCTTTCATTTAAACTCTAGACACCATTTAATTAAATGTTAGGTCACTAATATCCTGGCAAGGATCCAAAAAATAAAATCCTGGTCAAGGCATCCAAAAAAATCCTGGTCAAGGCACCAAAACAACAGCAGGATGCTATATTAATAAATCTCATTCTATTTTATTTGCCATTTCCTGTGCAATCAACAACAAATAAATGACACAGAGGCAGTAACGTGTGCTTACTACGGAACCAAAAACGTCTGGGTTAGGGAAGATTAAAACTGAAACAGATGCAAATTAAAATCAACTTGAGCAAATTGATCATGGTTTAAATATGTGTGTTCAGTCAAAGAATGAGAGTGAATCAGAAAGACCTTAAATATAATAAGTAACAAGTTGATATACTGAAGCCAATTTCTGGCACAAAGCGAAGATAAGTTTACCATGGAAGCAGATCACTGCCTTAGCATAAAACTCACTTCCTATAATTTTTAACTAACCTTTATTAATACTTGTATACTCTAATTTGCTTTATTTCAATTATAAATACTTGCCAACTCAATTTTTTTTTAAAAATAGAAAAAAAATTGGCACCTGAATTAGTATTAGTATTTTTCAATTTCAAGTTTTATGGAATCAAGATCTCATTAATCTACAGCCCAGAGTTCTTATCTCTCGGCTTCACTGTTCATTCTGTGACGGAGAACACAACAGACCAATGTAGACAGGCAAGCTCTGAATAATAATTGTTTCCATTCAGAAATAAAAAACAAAATTGTGATGTGAGAACTGAGATATAAATAAATATATATCTTACATCCTTACCTAGGGAACACCCTGGAAGAGCACTCAACCGTGTCATTACCATGGCAACACATATCACATGGTTCAGTGAATTTTAAATCAACCAGTGTGATAAATAAAAGAGACAATGTCATGATAATTTTTTCCATTCTTTTTTAAAGGATACTTAACATAGTGAAGTATTAGACATATCACACAAAAAATACTTTGAAAATGCTCATGAAATTTCACATTTGAAATATTCCGAGACAATAGATTTAGAGGTTTTAAACTTTACATGCATGTTTTACACTGAAATATGAAGTTTGACTCTAAATGTGATTTGTACTGATTAAGTAAATGATACAACATACTCAGTGTATATACATGTTAAGTGGTGTTCATACTATTCTGAATAACATCAATTCAGTGTATTTTCTGCTCTCTAAGAATGACAGATCCGTATGCAAAGACCTCCCTTTGAAACAGAGCAATATTTTCAAACATTCCATTCAATTAAATTCTAAATTTACATCCCAATCCCTGCATACAGATCTGGTGAAGAAGAGAGAGATAGAACACACAGACAGTCAGACAAAAATTTACCATCATCATCTTCATCATCCTCATCATCAGCAGAACTTGGATCCACCTCTACGTCTGTTATATCATTATAACTCTCCGCACTGAAAACAAGAATACACTATATACATGTAATTCAAACACAAAGAACTGCGAACGATAGTATTGTTCTCCCACCTACCTCCAAGTCAATTTTCAAAAGTTAACACATTGAATGATTTTTCATATTTATATAAATATTTATATGAATTTTCATAAAACATTACTTCTTTGGGAAAACAAAGAGAGATAACTCTATAATTTGGGTAAAACTTGTGTTTTTCACTATGGAAATCAATGGAAAACGGAAAATATTTTTAAAACATCTTTCCCCCCCGTGAAACAAAAATTCCTTCTTACAGATAATATGGACTGTCATTTCACAAATTCATACCAAAGCTTTTTGTGTTTCACAGGGGGGGGGGGGGGGGGGACATATGTTTACAGACAAAAAACTACAAAAATGCTTATTTGTTCACCAATTTCAAAGGGTTTTACAACTAAAACATTGTATTTCATTAATAATATATGCTTAATTTTATATGCGTTAAACATAAGAAAAGATTGAAGGAACATTTATTCATAACCAAGAATATTTTTAAATGTGTTGATGCTTTAAAGCCTGATTTCAACGGAAAATATCGTCTACCCCCCTTATTTTAAGACCTCAAATTAGGGGTAATTAACTATTTAACATTGGCATTAAAATTATCAGTCAATTACCATTGAACTGTTCTTTGCATTCAACAAAGATTTTACGGTTAAATTGCCATTAGTATTGAATTAAATGGATGTAAAATGTAGGTGGGGATCGAGAGTTAGCGTGCGTAGTTCTTATTGACATTTTCACTCAGTGTAAAAGTAATCTTTTATTAAGCCTACGACTAAATTACAACTGTTATACAGTGATTAAATGATCTGGCATTAGATTATAATAACTAAACTGTATAATAAAATATACAATTTTTCTTATAATTTTTGTATTTTTAATAAGTGATTGAGACTCCAAATTTTTTATGAGTCAATAATTCATCAATACAATAAACAGTTCAACAACTCAGCTAAATGGATATCATAATAGGAAAATTATTGTAATAACAGGTAACACAATAAGGAGACTAAACATTATATCACTATGGCTTACTCTGGATCATCGACGATGCATTTCTCATAAACTTCCCCACCATCACAAGGGAAGATTTCCTCGTGATGGATAATGATTGTCTTGATGACCTCATGGACGTTGCCTTGGTACGACACCTGGTCACGGTCTGACGGAATGGGAAGAAGCGTTGGACCAAAGCAAATGGCAAGGTTGTAAGGGTCCATCATATTCTCATCTGAATACTCAGACAAACTGAAATATAATGAGAGCAATAATCATACAACAATAAACCAAGGGAATTGATTCAACTATTAAAAATTAATGATAGAATTTCCTTTTATTTTTTAGAGCAACTTTAATAATTTTTTCTTTTATACACATTATACCATTTGAAGAAGGAGTTATGCCTGAGAAAGTCAATGAGAGGTTTCTGCTGCACTTGAATTATCATGTTGTTTCAAGAAAAATCTTATAATAAACACATCAAAAACGAACTTCATCATGACATAAACATGGTTCATTACTAAACTTTTTTCAATTCAGCACTTACTGATTGAGGAAGGCAAATAGATATCGCATGACAACCAGAACACATCGTGGTAATGGTGACAGGAGCTCTTTTATCTTCTCCACACGTTGTCCGTCATCTAATTCTGAAACGTAGAGACACCCGGCCTTGAACTCCAAAACCCACCATACAGGATCAATACATCCGAACAGACAAATGACCAGGTCAACGAGTCCAAACAGTGGAACATACTGACCAAGTCAAACAGTCCGAAAGACGAACATATTGAACATGTATGGTGGGCCTTGGAACAGCAGAAATGAGGCTATAGGTGTATAGAGGTGGCATGAACATGATGATATCACAATATCAGGGTCAAAGGTCATCAGGAACATGCACATTTAAAAATCAAAAACATTCAAATCATAACAAAAATAAAATTAAAGTTTTTCATTCTTTATTTTTGAGGGTCATATCAAAACAAGAACAGTTAAAGGCATCTCACTTATTCAACATTGCACTTCCTTCTTCAGAAAGAAAATGAATCTTTTCTTTATCAATTAGTAATATAAATTGAAATTTTCATCAAAGAAAAAATTAATAAAGATTTTATATAAAAAGCATAAATCAATTAATCAGCAGCTTTCAATTTTGGATAATTAGTCAGGATTACAGTTAAGTATGTAACAAGACAGCTGTGGAAAAGTTAAGGCTTATTATGTTAATGGTTGAAAATAATGAATATTCATGTATGTAGATTGTAGAATAGTGGTTAGGAAGTAATGACCCAATTACATGATTATAATGAATATGCAGAGTAAAGGTTAGGAAACAAGAAGTCAATAAAGCAAGCCCCCATCATGCATGTTCAAGTATGTTATACTAAAAGCTCCTGTTTGATAAGTTATATAAACTGTGTATAGCTAGTTCTTATATTACATTTAATATTCTTACATTGAATATTGACTAATATAGTAACATTTGGTCATTTATATTGATATATTAGTTGAATATTGACTAATATAGTAACATTTAATCATTAATATTCATATATTAGTTGCTATATCCTTAGAATATCATGGTTGGCTAGATACAGAGGTGTGTTACATGTATATCAATTTTTACAATAACAGCTGATTTTAACCTGAAATATGTCTCTTACCATATAAGAATGCTGATTTATAAAAAAAGTTCCATTTATTAGCTTGTTTTTCTTCAGTCACTTAAGACTTACACTGTTATTTTTCACAAAATAGAAACAAAGTGGAGCTTTCCAAGAAATTGGTAAAAATTTGTAATGTTTAGTACAAAAATCATTCTTATATGCTCGCAAAGTATCACTCTTCACGTGGAAGATTTCTTGTCAACAATAATATTGTAAGGAATTTTATTTCTGTGCTGTAGGTTAGTAGATAGAAATAATGACTACTCCCTGAATATCAAACACTTACTACTCCCTGATATCAGTTCGTCAAACAGAGGCAGAGGAAACAAAGGCTCGCGGAGCTCCCTGAAGTAGAGTTTGAGAACCCCAGCTACTGAGTTGATATCACTGGGATCCATGTCAATTAATGGATCCTCCCCTGTAATAGATAGATCATTAATGAGAATGTGTTACTCCATTTTAAGCATTCTTTCACTTTTACTTTCACTTTGATCTTGTTTCAGAATTTAAATTTTGTGATCTACAGTTAAAACAGCAAATAATTTATTCTTAAAGATTCACAAGAAATATTCCATTAATCTGGAACTAATTTTAGGCACTCCTTAAGGGACTCCATTAACAAGTCTGTAAAATATAAGAATTCATGACCAATTCCAACCTTTCTCAAACTCGGCTTTGAATTCGTTGATTTCCACCTGAGCTCCTGGAATCCTGAATATTCCCTGGTGATGCATTCCTGGAAATAATCCATTCTTAATTGTCACATCAATAGACACAAAAAAATCCATTCTTAATTAATTGTCACATCAATAGATATACTACGAAGGTAGACATTTCACTGGGATTTCCATTTCATATGGATTTCTTACCATATAAGTTAATTGCCCGTATACAACTTTTAACAACCAGTGGAATTTCTTGTCCTGTTGCCTGAAATGAAGAAGAAGAATATAAACTATTAAAAGTTCATTATTTTGTATGCCTAGGTCTACTGTATCCATAATTCTAAAGCATAACAAATTCAGATCTAAATTCTGTACATATTTGAATTTAAACATTGCAAAAAATACCTCTTCCAAATACTGTAGATTCCTAAATATACGCGAGGAATAAATTGTCATGCAATTATGCTAGAAGCACCACTCGTGAAATGAAATTACACGCTTTTATTTTTATGGTGCTTTAATGTATATAAAATCTCTAGATAAATCACCCATTCGTGAATTATTATTTTCACGATTGAACGCCCTTGGGCCATTTTGCAATATTAAGTACTCGCGTAAAATAAGGATTCTACAGTACATTGAGCGAATAAATTTTGGTCCATATCACAAGATATTTTGACTCAAGTTGTTTTTTCACCAATAGAAAATCAGCATCAAGTTCCAGAGATCCCAAATAGAAGGATTTACCCCATAGAAAATCAGTATCAAGTTCCAGAGATCCCAAATAGAAGGATTTACCCCATAAAAAATCAGCAACAAGTTCCCAAGACCCCAATTGGAGGGATTTACCACATAGAACTTACCTCACAGTATTCTTCAAGACTCCCTCCAAATAACTTAGGCTGTCCCACAATCTGACTTCTACCAATCCGCCTCTTTTTAGGCTTCGGGGGTAGGGACGGGGGTCTACTGAAAAAATCCAAAATGTAAACACAATTCAACAAATGTTTAGCATGCAAGAACAAGCAGTTAGTACAGGATCAACACATGCAATGTTTTTTTTTATTATTATACTGACACCAGACAATTAATTTCAACCAATTCCAAGCACATGCAGATTCCTTGTACATAAACAGTGACATCTCAATATTGTAGGTTATAAAGAATCACAAAAGAAAACAAAAATTGCTACTTCATTCACCCTAAATGTGCATTTATGTATTGAATCCAGGGAAGGGTCTTCTCTATAATTTCTTATTGAAAGCCACGTCTGATAGAGGAAAAAAGAAACTTGACAAAGTGATTTATAGACTCTACCATTCAGAACCATGCTAGAGGGTAATATAAAATATATGTAGGGTACCATGCAAGCCAGACACAGTCTCAATAGACAATAAGACAGAATAGGATTGCTGAAGCAAAGTAATACATTTCACTATTAATTTATATTTTTGCTACTTTTACTCTCACATATATTCTTTAAACATTAACAAGAGACTCCAAAAACATTATTCCTAAATCTATATAAAATGATTCAGACAATCCAACATGCAGATCATAGCATATGAACAGGTGACCCCATATTACACATCCTTGACCTATGACCTTACCCTGAGGTTGAGATGTTGTCCCCTAATGCCCTCTGGATTATACTGTATTTTCCCTGTAGTCTGGCAATCTGGTTACAGCTCTGTGTATACTTCCGGAACTTCTATAAATCAATGATTTTAAAACAATTCAGATGAAGACATAATTTCTACTTTTAATCATCAATATTCATCATTATATCATGAAACACAATTAAAGTATCATTATCATATTAAAATAAAACACATATCCAGAATCTCTGTACCCAGTATGACACAATTTTCTACAAAATACTTGAGCCAAAAGTCATAAATGCATGCACTCTATTTTGTCAATAAATGGGTACTTTAACATAGAGAACAAGAAGATCCTGTCACATTTATATAGAAGGCCTCCATCTCCAGCCATTCACTCCGCTGTTTCGCCGCCTCATGGGGGGACCTTGGAGGCGGGTTTTCCTCGAGGAAGAAGCCAGAGACATCATAATTTTTGCCCGTGATCATCTCATTCAGTGATTTTTCAGTAGCCTCCATGGTTTTCCACGTCTCGTCGTTTTCGAGCCTGAGATCGACGAGGCGTTCACCGATCGCTTTATACCTCTGGAGAATGTCATCCTGTACGGGTTTCTGAGCACTAATTTGCTGGACCTGTCAATGTATTACATTAAGGTTAAGTTTATATAAATTATTTGAAATGCTCAAGTCTTTAAAACCTCATAAATTTTCAAAAAAAAAAAAAAATTAATAAATGAATAAATAAACTGATAAATTATAAAACTGATAATTTCTAGCAGAATTGTGAGAGGGATAGGTTTATATTGATTCTTAACTTGTGCAAGAGTGTTATTTATAGACTTATCATGCAAAGATTCCATAATTTATTAATCATTTTTTTCAATTATTTGTAGCAATAAAAACTATTACTTTATAGATTTAATCTGCAATATCCATCAATTTAAATGTTTTCTTCTCAAACTTAAAAGTAAATAGAAAACTTTTTAAAGAATATAGTTTAAATTAATTTGTATCAAAATTAAACTGCCTATTCTTGTTCCATATAATTTTTTTGTATGAGGTAATCAGGTGATTGTGAAGTCTTGGGCTTTGATTTATTTATGTGTACTTATAGATCTATGTATCATGTAGATAAATGAAAGCATCATAAGACTAGTCATATTGAAGGGACACATGAGTATTGGTACATTTCTACAAGTTAAAATTTAATATTTCCAAATTACCATCACTTCCTCTTTAAAGATTTTATTGATTGGTTGATTTTGAAAGTTTTAATTACACACAAGTTTTTATGTCCTTCCTTCACAATACTTCCCTTTCAATTTAACAATTAACAAACAGTATTTAAAAAAAAAAATAATTTTCAATATTTAAGCGAAGTTTAAGTTGCCTGAACATTTTCAATACCCCCAACCTTTGGAAAATCATAAATAAAGTGCCCCGCCACAGCATGATACGCCCGTCAAATATTGTTCAATTGTCATAAACAGTTTAGAGTGCAAGAAAATCATGTCAACCTTGATACAAGGATTTCCATGACTTTTCCATTCCTTATAATACTTGTTTATACATCTCCTGTGTTGTACACATTAATTTTAATTTAACAAATATTACATTATAGATCCTCAACTGGTTGTGTTAGAGCTTGACAAATGCCCATCTGACCCCCCCCCCCCCCCCCCCCCCCATACATCTTTCATATTTGTGAGACATGATGCTCTAGTTGATATTTTCAAAAAATATAAAAATATCATATTAAGCAATATCAATTTAGTCTTAACAACTTAATCTATACCAAATTAATTTTCAAAATAAAAAGGCTGGCCATCAAATGACATATGCTATCATTAGGAAAAGGAAAGGTAGTATGTAATTGCCGTTTTCCATTGCTAAATTGTAAACAATAATGACCAGCAGTTCTTCTGTCTAATTCCCAAAGGATACAGATAAAAGCTGCTTGATCAGAGATGCTCTAACAGAAACGATTGATACAGCTAGCCTTCCTTCATTGAACTCATTAATTAATCTCTAACTGGATGCATGTCCAATCATTACTCCCAAGGGATGAATGGATCTGCACTATTTGCTTTGTAGTGCAATAAAAATGCATATTTATGTCATCCTGAAGTTAAACTTGAAAACAAAGATTTTTTTAAAATTTGTAACAAAGATTTCTAAAAAGAAAAAAAAACTTGAGTCATCTTGAAGCAACATTATTAATAAGGTACCTGTATGACTCTTAGATTTGTAGTGGCTATCTACCATAATTAAAACATTTTTTTAAATACTTGATTTTTTTAGATTTAATGTCAGACTAGCTGGTTTTAAGCTGCTATTCATACGGACAATGGGCATGCTGATTTCAATATTACCCCCCCCCCCCAGTATAATTAGTTTTAATTAATTACTTTATAAAAATATCAACAAATTTTATTTTTATGCAATATCAAATTAGTTTTAATTACTTTTCACCAAATTCATTTTAAAAGTTAGGCTAGCCAACAAGAAATACATGTATTTAATCCAACATTTGCCCAGTTCCCAAGAGATATAGATAACACCTGCTTGATCAGAGATGCTCTACCAGTTAGCTCCTCACACTAAACTCATTAATTTCTCTCTAAATTGACATGCAATTTTCTGTTATCAAAATTCTACTTGACCAGTGCTTGATAATTAAACCCATGGGAGAGGTGGAATTTCTCTTAAATTACATTTGCTATAGATTGCTGTAAAGTATATACATGTAATGAAAAAAATAAGTATTTTCTTGATTTAACATTTTTTTTAATATGGATACTGCAACACTCTTACATTTTTTGGGATTGTGTAATTTAATAATAAAAAGACTTTTATTTTTTAAAATTTCACTTAAATTAAAGGTCACAGTGACATTGAAATAGGTTGGGACACACCTACCTAAGATGCATAAATTGGCCAAGTTTGATGATTCCAAGTCTAACAGTTTTCTAGTTATAAGCCGGACAGGATTTTTCCATATTTGGCCATAACATCTTAATTAAAGGTCAGAGCGACCTACTTCTAATGCGCGACACACCTTCTACCCATGATGCATCAGCTGACAAAGTTTGATAACTCTAGGCCTAATAGTATTAAAGTTATGAGCCGGACACGAAAAAGCTAACAGACGGACGGACGGACATGAACGCTATAACATAATACGTCCCGTCTTAAGACGGGCGTATAAAAAATCTATTAAGAACAAGTGGTATTATCATCACTATTTTATAAATCTCTGGTGTTATCACTGCTGAAATAGGTGAATAAAAGCAGGACATTTGCACCAGAACTCCTCTAGAATTTATGTTTCTGCATATGAAAAAGTCCACTGTTACAAACTGTACACAATATGATGCAAAATAGCTTGGCAGCTATCGATGTTGTGCCAAAGATGTTGGAGATGATTTTAGACCTTTTTATTATCAAATGATTAATTCATGCTATGGATGGAGACATATTTAACTGTTAAATTGTTGAGATATTAACTGTCTAGGCTATCAAAAACATGAAGTTGCTCAATCGGCATGCAGTTGTACATCTATTTTCTTTTTTAAAGGAATTCGTTTTTGAAAATGAACTTTGAAGAGAATATAACAAAACTATGACTTTTCCAAGGCCCTGAAAATATAGAAAGTCGAGAAGAGAAAAATGTTTGAATCTTATTAAACAGTGAAGTATGCATAATATGCAAGAAATGAAATTACTTTAATAGGCCTATGCAGTCTATCATTAGAGACTTTTAGATTGACAATGCCTAATTTTCTTTTTCTACTAGATACTTATATGCCTGGTAATTGGAAAATATTTTTTTAAAATGTACCTTTATGCCTAGGATGTTTGAGCAATACTGAAAAATTATTGAAATGTATTTAATGTATATGCATCGACATGAATTTTAATTTTTAAAGTTTTAATAATGATTAATGTGCGCCACACATGCCAAGAAGTCTCCCTAGAATTTTACACTTCTCCCTTAATTTCTCTGAGGGAGAAGTGATGTCTCCCTAAATTTTGGGTCTAGGTTAGTCCCTGTTAACACCGGAACCCCTGTCCCCAGGGGCCATGAATTTCACAATTTAGGTAGAGGCACCCTTGCTCATCATAACCATGCATTTAATTTGTCTTTAAAGTATACAGGGGGAGAGAAGAAGATTTTTCAAAGAATTTATGTATTTTCACTATATAATCTATAGAGCCCTGCCCTAGCACCAGAACCCCTGACCCAGGAGCCATGAATTTCACAATTTTGGTAAAGGACTCATTGCTCATTATAATCAGGCTAACAGTCTGAATGTTTGATGTCCAAAAGTAAAGAAGATTTTTGAAAATTGCATCAATTTTTATGGGAGACCCCCCTCCCATGAATGAAATTCATAGTTTTTGTTCCCCTTTGCTCATAGATGCTATGTCCCTCTTTGCCCGTAGAAGAGATACACCAAAATTGGTTGAAATTGGTTAAAGTAGTTCCAGAGAAGAAGCTGAAAATGTTCAAATGTTAACGGAGGACCGATGCCTGATGATAGATGAATACATTAAACACTACATCATCTGTGACTCAGGCGACCTAAAAACACAAGTTGTTATCAAGGGTTCATTTTGTAAGATCCAAAGGAATACAGGGAAAGGTATAGGGCATTCTTTGGAAATATTTCTTATTTACATAACATCTGACTACATTTTGCCCTCTGATCCGTGTTTATAACTCACCTCATCTCCTTTGCAGGGCTGGAAGTCAAACTTTTTCGGCAACATAAATGCTGCATTGTAGAGCTCTATGAAGCGCTGTTTGTCGGCCTGGGGGTCAAGGTCGCTGACACACTTCTGTATGACCTCGATAGCATTGTGATGCGTCTTACTGATGTTCTTATGACACGATTGATACATCATCATCGTACAGCGTACAGAATTATGATAACCAAAGTCCATACACTACAAAACACAAGATAGTCATTGTAGATAGGGATCTTTTATGGGTAATTACTTGTATACTTAATGTCTCAATGACAGAGTACAGCGATACACTAAAGAAAAGGTGAAACATCAAACCTCCCTACAAGTCAAAAATTGATAATAAAGAAGAATATTCTGAAGGACATACACAAGGTATTATTGTAAGAGTAGGGAACTCTTATGGGAAAACACATTTATACTGAACATTTCCATGACCGCAAAACTGTGATACAGTAGATCAAAAGTGGAATATGTCAAACCTCACTCCAGGTAAAAGACAGGATTTAAATTTTTTTTTCAAAATCACAAGATATGTCATAATTTAATTCACAATGATATAACTCATGCTGCAGTTTTTTATGTATGGTTATTGATTTATCAATTAAAAATTAAGTCTCTAAGCAAAAACTCTGTATCCTGATCAACAGATATATAGTTTTTAACACAGATAAGGAGTTATGTCCCTTACATCTACGAGATCTGAGATGTCATCTGTGAAGTACTTGCTGACCCCGGCATTAGCTGACTCTATACACAGTAAGTAGTCATTCCGTGCCTTTAGAGCCTTCAGTTTGTTCTCAGAGTATTTGTTCTGTTTCTGCAAAACATAAGAAAAACCTCCAAATCAAATTTTCATTTCATTCCACAATTCCATATTATACATTGTAAAAGAATTTTAGATCAATTTAGTTCCACTTATTATCAAAATTTAGATTTTAAACTTTTTAGAATTTAAATTATCAAAACTCTATGGCTTCAACTGGCTTGAAAAGTGTTTGACTTGCCCCTGTTAAATTTGTAAGAACAGGAAAGTTGTTTGACTATTCCTGGTTACTTTTTCTGTCTGCCTTGTGAAGGCCTTTGTTTCTGACCAAACATTTAGATGACTTACTTTTTCTGTCTGCCTTGTGAAGGCCTTTGTTTTAGATGACCTACCTTTTCTGTTTGTCTTGTGAAGGCCTTTGTTTTAGATGACCCACCTTTTCTGTCTGCCTTGTGAAGGCCTTTGTTTTAGATGACCCACCTTTTCTGTCTGCCTTGTGAAGGCCTTTGTTTTAGATGACCTACCTTTTCTGTTTGTCTTGTGAAGGCCTTTGTTTTAGATGACCCACCTTTTCTGTCTGCCTTGTGAAGGCCTTTGTTTTAGATGACCTACCTTTTCTGTTTGTCTTGTGAAGGCCTTTGTTTTAGATGACCTATCTTTTCTGTTTGTCTTGTGAAGGCCTTTGTTTTAGATGACCCACCTTTTCTGTCTGCCTTGTGAAGGCCTTTGCTTCTGACTAACCGATTAGATGACTTACTTTTTCTGTCTGCCTTGTGAAGGCCTTTAGTTTACGATTACTGGAGACATTTTTGCCCGCTAGCTGCTGCTCTAGTTTATTCTTTTGACTTTCCACGGCTCGTAGTTTACTCTCCGCCTGCATACTCTCTGTCTGGTATGTGTGATACGTCTTCATGGCCTGCAGAAACATGTTCAAATAAAAACAGTTAAATTGGTTTAAATTACATAAAATACAAATAAAAGGGACCCTCTGCTCAAAAGAATTGAAATCTTTCTACAATTTTGACAACTTTTACTAAATGATGTAGATATAACCATATGGGGCAAAATTAAGAAGAAAAGCCATTGTTGAAGCTGAAAATTTTACTAAGGAAACAGATATTTTTCCAACTTTAAAGTAATCTCCCTTCGCCAAGGGTAATTTTTTCTTAACATATGTTAATAAATGATGATGAAATATTGTTTTATTTCTTGTCAAGGAGATTTCTATCTTTACAAAGTGCTGCTTTTCGTATAAGTATTCTTAACATTTAAGAACCATACAGTCATAAAAGACAAAACTTGTGATAAAAAATGCAAAATTATACAATTCTAAGAAATATGGGATCTTTCTTTGTTATGACTTTATCAAAGAAACTGTCAGGTTTTACTGGTTTGTGATCTTCCTTTCTTAACTTTAACAGCCCTCAGAACATTCTAAAGAGGGTGAACCTCCAGATGGGTTCTTTTCTTGTAAATCTTGGCATCAATATTATCAGGATCCCAGTTCATATTACATAATATCCAGCAATAATACACAAAACAGATAAGGCAGACACACACACGAAAGTTTCTGATACAAAGTCTCTGATAATTTTTTTCGTTTTTTGCTCTCTATCTTTGAATGCTGTCTTAAAATGTAAAATTTTTGGCTATAATATTCTTTTTTTCTATGACTTGTGAATACTTCAACTTATTAAAAGCTTTCAGAATGTTCCAACGCTAAATTTTTCACTGAATTTTTTGCATCTTTGTTATCATGAAATTACAAATTACTGCAGCAACTGAAACAAAGGACTCCCCACAGCAGCTGGCAGAACCATTATGTAAATAAAAGGATTTCTATTTAACAGCTTGGCACCTCATGCTTTCAGACTCCACAGTTGACTGATCAAATGAAATGATCAACATGGATTTCTCTGGGTCACCAATCATTAAGAAAGAAATAAGTCCCTAAGGGAACAACCTGGGCTGTTTCAATGACTTCTCCTCTGGTTGTTAGATTTCTAAGTGCATTTATTGGTGACTTTTGTTGCTCTTCATTGTAACTGGATATTTGCAGGTCTCCATTTCAAAAAGGCAGACTGTGCCTGCAACATATGTGTTATGTCTTACAGATATTTAGCTGAATTTGAATACAGAAAGCAACAGCTGTGGATTTGGGCAGTCTGGGAAAAAAATCAGGGAGCACCTGCTTCCACACTTCTGTGGTAGATAGGGGCAACAGTGGCTGATAATTATCAATAATTACACAATTTTCTCAAAATACCCAGATTTCTACCAAGCTGCTGTTTATTTTGCCATTTGCTATCTTTCATCCTTACTCACATTCTTCCTAAAACCCTCTCTTCTATGAAATCGTGTTTGTTATTCTTTAATCTACTCTGGGAGGTTATTTTTACTGCTGTCAATGTCTAGCTATTTTAGTAAAATTCTTCTGAATCACATCTCTAACTCTTTATGACACAACAAAGGAAAACTCCTGCTGCAGAATTTTCTCATTAAAACCCTTTTCTGACCCCTTAGCAGCCAGCATCTGGGGAACAAATCCCACTGCTCTCTCTGAACCATATGAGCTTTTAAGACAACCCCATTCTCTTTTGGCATTCAACAGTATTGCAATATTGCAGCAAGTAACATAAGAAATAGATTCCCCCATAAAATTTCCTTTGTTCCTCATCCCCCCTCCAGCTGAGCTGTGAAGACTTCCCCAATTTTTTTCTAGGCTCTGTTGGAAAGATTGTATTTTAACTAACTCCTCTAAGCATCCATTGTTCATCATGATCTCAAACCTGGTGCACTGTCACACACAATGTCAAGACTGAATTCTAAAAACCTGCATGCAAGTAGGCTCCATGGAGTAAAGACTACATCACTTTACTGTGTGACTGCTGTAGCTAATATTTCAGCTCTGGGGGGTAATAAGTAATGAGACATAACATGTCTGTATGAATTAGAATCTCTTACTGTTGACTTAGTCATTGCTGCTGACTCTCTGATGTTAATGTTTTCACCTCTGACATGTTTGTCTTATGCTTCTGATAACATTTGCTACGTTTGACATTTATGATTACATTTCATTGTTATTACACGTGTCTTAATAATATGCAGTCATATATAAGTATCGCTCGTAACTGAGGTTGTTATAATGTTAAATTACATTTACAATACATTACTGGACTATCTGCTGGTCTCCAGCATGTTTTAATCACAATAGAATGAAGTCTTTTACACTTGTATCACATAACAAAGTAATAATAACTCGATTATAAATATTTCAGCACATTTTACTTACATTTTGTAATTCTGTTAGTGTCTTCATAATGTCTTCATGACACTCCATTCCTATATCATGACACTGTCAAAAAATAAAGGATTAAAATAACATTAAAATATTTCAAATTCACTGAATACCATATTAAACCTACAGGCACCTTCATAGCTACACTGATCTGTAAATGTCTTTACTTTTGATTAAATGTTGAAATCTCACAAGTTCATTCCACTTATCATAGTTTCAAAGAATCATCAAACCCACAATGTTAAAAATAATGTGAGCATAATAAACACTAAAACATTGTCCTTTAAGTGCATTTATTCATTTTAAACTCTTTTTTTTATAATCTTCTTTTATGTAGCTTGAATATTAATTCAGTACATTTTATAGTACCACTGGGTGTGTTCTCGCCTATAAGATTTATAGCAGATTATTTGGGTTTAGTGCTTGTGTTTTCTACACATTCTGTAGAATCGATATCAATTTCTTTAAACTTTTGACCATACATCTAAAAATACCTTTAATATGGCATTTAGAAAGTACTATATTAATAAACCCCACTTAGGAGACAGCTCTCATGTAGAGCTGCTTATTAAGTTTCCTGTCAACCCTTTATCAAATGGCCAATACTTGTCCACTCTCCTAATTATAGATCTAAACATCTATTTATACAGTCCAATATCCTAATTACAGATCTATACATCTTCCATCTTATGCAGTTCATAAAACCAAATCATGAAAACTACGAAGAGCTTTGGTTCCGCAGACCACAAGTTAATTATTGAGCTGTATGTCTCTAGTCTCAAAGACTGAAAGAGACTAGACTTTTATAATTACATCTAAGCCCTTATATACTGTACAGTTATATTCTAATTTCAGTCACCATTTTAGAGTAAAAATCCTTAAATGAGATAAATGAAATCTACTCGTCTGATGTTTTTTCCCTCTTTTATCATCGTCAGAGAATTCCCTAAAAATATTGTCTAAAGACAAGGAAGGGGTTTTGATTTCAGCGAGGTGAAAATTACACATTAGGAAGTCTAGAGAGACATTCCCCCTTCACCCATTAGCACATGCTTAATTTCCAGAATGTCTCTCCTAAATACTGTAGCAGCTCAATTCAGCCTCAGTATCCTTACTTCCCCTCTCTCCTCCATTCATCCCCCAAAGCAGCTTTGTATAAATGCAGACATGGTAAGAAGATTAATGAGTGATTGACCAGTAACGTAATGTTCTTCTGCCTCCATCTGATGCCTCTGTCTGACAGAACATACAATAAAATGACAGGTCTCGCTCAAAATTTCTACCTCACTCAATTTCTTTTACAACCTTATACCCATAAATAAGATACTGAATTGTGCAAAAAAAAAATTATGATCGGTTATACCTTATTAGAATATGTATGGTGTCTCTTTATTTATTAGAAATCAGTTTCAATGAAGCATAAAACCATAAAGATGACCGTTAAAAATATTCTTAATCCACTATGAAAGACCTCCAATGAACATACATTGTGCATTTGAAAATGCACCTATCCAACAACATAATGTGCAGTGAGAGTTATTTGTATGGGGGAGCTCTTTAGAGAACTTCATCATTGCAGCTAATTTGTTTACACCTTCTAAAGTCATTACATTTACAGACACTCAAAAACTCTCACACACAGACAATAAAATGTATACAGAGCTTTAACACTTCACACAAACTTAAGCATGTGGATCTGCTTTTCTATAATTTTAAGGAAGCATGTGTCGTAAAATTTAGATATATGGGCCAAGCATTTTTTCTTCAAAGATGCATGCATACATGCACAAACTGGAAATTTATCTTTTTAATAACACAAATGCAAAATTACCCTCATACATGATATTAATGAGGAAAAAAAACTTAATTGCCAAACATGTGTTCTTAATATTTAATCTATCTAAGACATGAAACAAGGAACAACTCTCACATCTGTCTTTGCTTAGAAACGACAGATAATTAATGTCAATCACTAACCTGTCAGTTCTAGAATTGGACCATTCCCTGATATTGTGGTCAGAAACTGACCAGGAGGGAAGTCTGGAGTGCTGGGAAAAAATCACATGACAACTCGCCTTTGAATACACAAGTTAGAGAACTTGTAATAGATAATTCACCAGAACACAATGTATGTGTCAGACAGGTGAATTGAAGGGGCTAAAACCAGGGTCCTTCTGTGAAAAACTGACCACAGGTTTAAAAAGCATAATTCAGACTAAAGTGGAAACTTCAATGATAAAATGTAGTTCATATCCTCCTCAGTTTTAACAAGCATCAACAAATCATTGTTACCCATCCCTTATAACTGACCATGACTAACCCAGGTGCTGAGGAAATTCACAGGACAGCTAATACAACCCTGTAACCTCATCCCTCATACCGTAGACAGAAATCACTAACTACACTGATTGATGGACAATAATCAATATATATTTCAGCATCAAGTTAATTCATATATCAACAAACATTTTGGGAAAGACCCTATGACCAAACCCTTCTATTTCATACATTAAACACTGACTCATGAGTAACCACTCAATTCTCTTGAAAAACTTCTGAGAGAACTAGATTTTGTTGTTGTAAGATGTAGTATGAACTGACTGCATGATCAATTACTTCTCAGAATAACTAAATCGGATTCCTCTCCTACAACTAAAAGCTTTTCCCCTGACTTCGAACATTTCCTAATTCTTCTCCAGGAAGGGTTTATTGAGTGTAAATGTTTCCTTCTCATCATTAAGAGAAATAAGCGAGGTTGTTGGCTGATTTTTATACCTAAAATAAGTAAAATCCCTCGATGAACTCCCCCTGAACTCAAGGAGATAACCATCTAATGCTCCACTTGTAATGTGATCCAGGGGGGTCATAATTCTGTATCAATTCTGATCTAAACTATCAGAGATATTGGGGTTTTTTTCTTTGCATGATATGAAATTGAAGTTCTAGAAATATAAAAATCAAAGGCCTGAAGGCCTGAGAGGCGCATCGCATTGAATGTAGAAAACTAAATTTTTTTTACTCAGAAAAATTCAACATACATCTTGAGGGAATGAAAAAAAAAATCCTGAGGTTAAAAAAATTTTGAGTCGTGGCATTTTTAGCCAGTCAGTCGGGAGAGGGCAAAGCACTTTTTTAAAAGATAGTCTGATATATCAATTATAATTCATTGATATTTAAATTAATCTTTAATTGATTTTAATTATACTTTTTTTTAATTCTTTTATTATAATCATAGTAGAAAGATGAAATAATGAACGAGAATTTAGAAATGAATGATTATTGAATAATTCTATATAATTTCATATCTGAAGTTTTTCCGTTTCTTTCATTAAGTGCATTTTTTTAAAATATCAATACTTTGTCTTAGACTAGTTTTATCAATCAGAATGGCATTTTACATAATCCAAAGTGGTTTACATGAAATGTTCATATAAATATTTACGGACTGAAGAAAAAAAAACAAGGCGTGGTATACGGTATACTGTGAAACACGTCCATGGCGGCCGATTTCCTCCGATATTTTCGATAAAATTAACTCAAAAAGTCTATGTTTATACGGTATTAGTAAACCTATAAATTGAAATCCACAGTCATTGCAGTTTTTATCAGACATTTCATCATATTAAACTGACATTTCACCAAAAACCGATCATTTCACCGTTTCGTGTCACCTTCAAAGTGGAATTTTTTTCGCGAAAGGTGCCGCTTCTTGCAAAAATTTATTCAGTTAAACATCTTACTATTCGTTTCATCGAGTGAAAAAAATAATGATATCCCTTCTATTTCTATAAAAACAACCATCTTGTTCCTATTGTTCGTGATGTTTTATAAAATAAAATCATTGACTGTATATTTTTTCTCAGATATTCGTACAAGCAATGTCGCCTTACAAGGCATAATAATTTATGGTACGAGCTGTTGTGATGCAAATAGATCTTACTCCGCGTAGCGCACATGTTTGTTTATTGTTGTTTTCTCACTTTCTCTGTTTTTGTTTTGTTTTTGTGTCTTTTTGTTATCTTTGTTGCTTTCAAAGTATAAACAACATATATATGTGGGATTTTATGTTATTTGATATTTAAAATAGACAATGAATATCACCGACTTGTCAATATACATTTGCACTATTTTCAATGGCGTACTTAGAATCAACATTGTGGAGTCCTTTGTCGCTGCAGAAAAGAAAGAAATGGGGGTCAACAGCAATGAGGCTACATCGCTGTTAGCGATGCGCCTCAAAAAAAACTTGAAGTTTTTCCTTTGTTTCTCAAAAAATAATATAACATCCTTCACAGAATTCCACTGAAAATTTAAATTTACACTTAAACATTGAATTTTTGTGAATCCTCTACAAATTCTCCATGATATGTGCTGATGTTTGAACATGTTGAATGCTTTTATTTTACACTTTTGATAATTTTGTGTAAGTTCAATTACACTTTTTGCTACTGCTTTATGATAACTTACACTTCTGTGAATTCTCTGGGAGTTCTCCATGATTGTGTTGAATCGCTGCACCATCTGATTGCCGTAGATTTCACTCAGTGTTTGGTGATCCCGGGACTCTTTCTTTGTTATGTCCAGAACCTGCTGCCATGTTGTAAAGGTGGAGAATAATGACCAGTGTTCTCGCCTATAAAGGTCAAGGTAAAAATAAAGAGGTCAAGGTCATATGTAAAAGTGTGTTACTACTAAGGTTCTAATGATTTCAATAAAAAGTGCTGCAGCTAGGGTCAGTGTGTTGAAATTTTGGAGATTAAAAAACCATGTGTATGCAATGAATTTTAAATCAAATAAACTATTTCTGCTTTTGAAATGATATCTTTAAGACTCTTTGAAAAAAAGTTTTTCATTCATGAAAACATAAAAAAAATGAGAAACAACCAATGAAAATCAGGAAGATACCAAAGCTTATTTCTCAAAGCCTTGCATCTGTTATATTGTAATAAAATTTAACATTCTAATACATGTATGATATATTGATATTAAAATATTACTTATTCATATACAAAAGGGTTCTTTTTGTCGTAACCATGTGTTCGTTCAATCAATGTCATTCGATCCCTCTAATATAACCAAAGCTTACTTTTGTTTTTCCTGTCGATGACGTAATTTTGTGTTTTTAACGAGTTTTTCTAGATTTCTGGCGTAGTCCATCTCCACCTCTGACAGCCTCCTGAAAAAGTCCTGCAGTTCTGTCACCATGGCAACCTGGATCTCCAGCCGATTTTCCAGACATTTGAGCTGTTCGTTAAGCTGGCTTCGTACATCTGTAAACAGAACAACACCATCATTGGTCAGAATGCGCATTGGGGAAAAATAAATAGAATTTGATTTAATATTGCTAATAATGTATCATTATATTGGCTGTAAAAGAGAGAAGAAATAACTTCTCCAATTGGAAAAATAATATCAAATGAAATGTGTTTTCTCTCAAAGTGGAACATTTTGGTATAACACTAGAACACACACACTGAATATTATCTGTAAATCAGATGTATTAAATACATGCTATATATATAGTATTCTCTCTCTTCATTAAAAGGAGTTCATATTCTAAATTTATTTTGCAGCAGATCTATCATCTACAAGTCAGGAAGTACAAGGTTACATCTTCTTAAATATGAGCTAGTGAGACTACAATACATGTACTGACATCAGTGTTGTACGGATGTTTTAGACAAAAGACCTAGAAGCATATCGAGGTATCTGATCTCCTAGAATTTCATTTCCATGAGCAAAACCTTATTCTTTTTGTCAGATTATATGTACATACTATTTACATGATAGCTAATCCCTCAACATTAGAATTAGCTACAGTCCCTTAGAGAGTAAAATATCTCTTATGAGAGTTAAATATCTTGGAACGATTCTTACTGCTATTTATTTCATTAATCTGACAATATGATATCCATGATTTGTGAGTGACACAGTCAAATCTAAACCAGATCAGTTTATAAGAAATTAGATCAGGTTTAAGGCCCATCCCTCTGTCAGCACTTGTGATAGGAGACTGTATAAAGGGCGCTAACCACGGATGTATGTCACAGACAGAACTGGCTTCAAAATTGGCCAAATTTCAAGAAACAAAACACATCATCTTGTAAGTACTAAATCCCTCTGATCTTATCATACCCAGGATAGATAAGTATCTGACTAAAGGTTTGTCATATATCTTCATTAATAGAACTTATCTCATTTCAACATAAAAATTAAAAATACATATTTAATAACTATTGACTCAGTAGCCGGATGTGAAATCTGATGTTTACAATAAATAAGATTGCCTTTAAGAATCTGCTGAATCAAATTTCATATACATATATCACTTATAATCTACAACACTTAATGTAACAAGATGGATAAAAATTCAAATTTGTTCACTCTCTTTTTCAGCTATATTTGCCTAATGCACCACTGCCCTTGGAATACTAGTGTTCCATGTGGGGGAACGTACCTAAAAATATTATTTTTAAATTGTTCAGTAATCCGTGATGTGAATCATTCCTCTATCATATTTCTGATACACAGAGCTGGCTTTGTTTCAGGGTCACAAAATATTCCTACCCTTGTATATCCTAAGGTCACAAGTCATACACCTCTACATTCCTTCAGTTTACTATGCCATGTAGTACACTATAATTACCAGGCCCTGGTTGTACATTTATATAGATTTTACTTTAAGACTATTCTAAAATAATTCCCCAGTAAGTGTAAAAGACTTTTTACTTGGCTCATTAGATCTATTACTATAAAGGCTCTAAATCTCTAAATTGTATATCTATGGACAAAAGTGATATCAGTCTTACTGTCCCTGGACACAAAATAAAAAAATTTAAAGACAGCCAGAGGCACTAGACTTGTCCATTATTTATAAACTAGAACACTCTTACCAATGATCTTAATCCTCCCAGGGACAAAATCTACATCCATCGGCCGGGTGCACGCAAATAGAGAAGAGGTCCTTTGACGAGCCGGCATTTTTTTTTTTTATTAATTTCAAGCAGCTTAGAATTCAAAATGCAAACCACATACTTAGTCTAATTAACTACAGTTAATTAGCTAATTAACTAGCTGATATCCAGTGTACTTTTATAAAAATTTTTTTTAAAAAACTTGGTAATCAATACATCTGGTGTAAAAATACACTTAATTCACGCCTGAAGTGATGAGTCCATTCATTGAATAATCCACTCTGCCAATTGTGAATGAAAAGTCATTCCAACAGTGTAAACATTGTCTGCTAATCATGTATTGACTGTGGAACTCCCTGCCAACCTGACACTGCTTCCTCATACAGTCTGTACACACAGATGGAGTACTCAGAGAAAGTGAAAATCAACTCTCCTCTCTCCCCCAAAATTCTGTTTCTTCACCAACATGAACCCAATATACATTGAATGAATTCCAAATGTAATTTAGCCCCAATATCACACGTCTCCATCGAAATCGATCTCCAGCATTAAAACCACACAACCAAATTCTCTCTCTGTCTGGTATATGAGGACCTGGGACCTTTAGAGCTAAGAAATATAGAATGACACACTGGTAAGCACTCAACGTTTCTCTCTCTGACTTCCCAGACACTGAGTTTACCCAATCCTTAGAAGATTTTAATATTTCAGTGCAGCGGTACAGTTGCAGCTGAAATATCTTATCATGATTTCTGATCAGTAAGACTTTTTACATCTCCCCACAAATCATTTTGTTATCTGGGCTTTCCTACTACGAGCCAGGTTTTCCTATCACTCTGCCAAGGAACATCTTGTGAATCCCTCTCACTGCCTTCTATAACATCCTGGTCTGTATATCACATGGGAACATTATTCAATACTGAATAATAACACAGAAAAAAGGATATAGAACCTCCACATTCAAACTCAAAACATAAAAATAAATGCTGATGAAGAAATATCCTCTGTATTTCGAAATGCACTTCCAAACTTTTCCACTTATGATGGATGTTTCTGGACTTGTGTAAGTTTATAAATGTCTGTAAACCTCATATCCTCCCTAGTAAAACCGCAGAGAAATGTATCCCTTCTTGGCGTTGATGTCTTGATACTTCATCTCAAGATAAGTGTCAGTTAGATGTCGGATTCAGTAAACATCAACAAAATGGCCATCAGTGTCGCTGGGATCCAGAGTAAATATCCACCTCTGTACCACAGCAGTGAACAGCGACAGGGCCTCTGTACTAATCCAATTAACACCCAGTAAAATGAACACACAGCTAACACACTGTACATCAATGGCAGTCAGATGAAAACAAAGACTATTTAACAACTAAATGGCTACAGTTCCAGCAATTCGTAAATCAATATTTCATACAATATTAGTATCATTGTACAATCCACCTAAGGCTATGAAGACCCAAGTTCTCATCAAAAACTTCCTTCTAATTAAACAATTATTTCCACAAAGTATATTTTCCTGTTTGAGTCTGGTACAGTGCATGTAATCCCTCTCGAGTGGAGGGTCGTAAGTCTATCACCACCCCTCAGAGCAGACAGACACTCTATACTACAGCCATGTTATCTCACAAAATCTTCCTCAGGACATAAAGTGGTCACACACACACAACTTGTCATCAAACACAACATTAAAGCCAATGATAGTCATTTCTCATCAAACATGACCATTTTGTGCTTGATATCTCAATAGTCAATAATTGAAGACCCCTTTATCATTTATCAATAAGTCGACTTCACTATAATATGGCCTTAATTTGACCCTATACCAGTGTATTTTATCTAATTCTGTCATCCAAATAAAAAGTTGAGTGACATTAAAAAAAGTAAATCATCTAGTAATGCAAGAAGCCGGCCCAGCAGATTATCGCCACGTTCTGTTTGATGCCTGGGTGTGGTTTTTCAACATGTCTTATCAAACCTCAGACTGCACCAAAAGTATAATCAATATTTCAGTACAAAATTTTAATCTATTTTTTTTTTTCAAATTTAAAATATAAATTACATAATGAAAGCTGGGATGATATTGGCAGCTTAAACAGCAAATCGGAGTTTTTAAATAGCTTTGTAACTATAATAATTTACATTAAGTTCAAGTGCCATGTTTGTATTCAATATGGCAAACTTACAACACATGATTAAAGAAACCCTAAACATTTTTTTACCATACATCATATTTCAGGGGAAATATCTGGTAATCAAAAATGAAGTCCCCCTATGCAATGGACAATCTATACTGACAAAAAAAGTCTACAATAAATTAATTTTCCATATGTCTTGTCTCTTACCCAAATTTACAAGTCATACACCCCCTGGGGTGTAAACATTGGTCTACTAAAGCTAACTATCTGTCCGGTAGTTGAGAGATTTCACAAGACTATGTCATTTACAGGTAAAACACATTCACAGGTATACGTCAAAACAAAAGCAATTCTTCACACCAAACTAATCCCAAGAGGGTGTCAAAGCAAGGCATCTATCAAGATTATCTAGGAGAGACATTATAATCAGGGATGAAAATTACATCTCAAGTTTATCACTTGGGAATTTTATTTTATTTTCAATAAAACAAAAAGGGCAGTCACAATAGCTACAACTTCCAATGATTTGAAAGAAATAAAATAAGATTGGTTCCCTTTGCTAGCTAGTATTTATAAATGTAAGTGTTATATATAGAGTATATGATCAGTAATTGTCATTTATTTCCAAACAAGTATTTAAAATTAAAAGCATGACAAATGCTAAAAAGTTCAGACAATATTTAAGAGGATAGATAGAAAGGCAGCTATCAAATCATAATAGCAGAAGTGACCCCTCTGTGTAGTTGTTTTTGTTAAAAGGAGGGTGCTTGTAAGTAGCTTGATATTTGCATGAACTATTAATTTCTATATAAAAAAAGAACTGCATTCCAATTCCACTAATGACTACTGATCAAAATGTAAAGATACATCATATAAACAATCCAGTGAAGCATTCCCATGTTTATTGGTATGGAAGAAAGAAAACAGCCTCCTAGGCAAGAAGAAAAATGAATTCACTCTCAGGACCTCGATCTAATACCATGGCTGATCAGCCCAGAGAAAAGAAATTTTCAGAATTATTGAATTTGTTTGCAAGGCTGTGAATTTCTTCATTTTTCTGTCATTAGCCCTCCAAAAAGAGCAGCTCATCTGCCCAAAGGTCAGAAGGTCATGAGAACAGCCAAGGAATCCATGTGTTAATTTTCCCTGGGATGATTTGTACAGCTCTGCCTCAATCAACTGAGATTCAATTTGTGTGCTTCTCCCAACAGCAAATTA